AATTAAAAAAAGCCCCGGGCGCTGATGGGATCACTGGTGAGATTCTAAAACAGCTCCCAATGAGAGTGATTGCCAAACTAGCCGAAATTTTTAATGCAATTATTACAATAGGATATGTGCCAGAATCCTGGAAGACTGCGGAAGTAATTGTTATCCCGAAACCAAATAAACCCATGGAAAAGGTAGATTCCTACAGGCCGATTTCATTATTGTCAGTGGTAAGTAAACTATTTGAAAGGGCTTACTTAAAAAGACTATTACCAATTTTAGAAGAAAGAGAGATAATACCAAATCACCAATTCGGTTTCAGGGCGTCACATTCTACCATAGAACAAGTGCACAGAGTTGTGAGTCTTATAGAGAGAACATTGGAAAATAAAGAAGTATGTTCGATGATTTTTTTAGATATTTCAGCAGCTTTTGATAAAGTCTGGCATCTGGGTCTTCTCTTCAAAATACGAATTTTTTTACCATTTAATCATTATAAGCTAATCAAATCTTACCTGGAGAACAGAAAATTTAGAGTTAGATTTAATAATTGTTATTCAACATATAGAAGAATAAAGGCAGGAGTACCGCAAGGATCATGCCTGGGCCCATATTTATACAATATCTTCACTAGCGACATCCCAAAACCGAAGAGGGGCTTTATCGGCACTTTTGCAGATGATACTGCCTTAGCAGAAAGAGACAAAGACATATTTATCTCTAATCATAGATTACAAAAAGCTATCGATGAAATGGTTGAGTGGGTTTCTGACAATGGCGCCACGCTCAACGCATGTAAATCTGCTCATACTGTTTTTACAAATAGGAAAATACCACAATTACCAGTTCTCATAGAAGATGAACAAGTTCCTTACGTTACAAGCGCTAGATATTTAGGAGTTTATTTAGACTCTAGACTTACTTTTAAAGATCACATCAGAATCAAGGTGAAAGAATTAAATAAAAAGTATAAAAAAATGTATTGGTTGTTAGGCAAAAGATCAAAATTGTCAAAGAAAAACAAAATTTTGCTGTATAATCAAATATTAAAACCTATATGGCAGTATGCTTCACAACTATGGGGTTGTGCAAGCAAATCTAATATAAATAAGGTAGAAAGATTCCAGTCGAAGGTTCTACGAGAAATTATTGGAGTACCATGGTTCGTAAGGAACGAAGACATAAGGAGAGAATTAGAGGTACCCACGGTTAGACAAGTAATTGCTGAGACAACGAAGAGATATGAATGTCGTATTGAAAAGCATATCAATGTAGAGGCTTTAAACCTTTTAGATAGTACAATACCTGTGAAAAGGTTAAAAAGGTGGGAGACCTTTGAGCTCCCATCAAGATTTAAGTAGTCTGTAAGGTATGAGTGAGAATGTGAATGGAGTGTGAATGAGGGTGAAAGGAAGAATGCAAAACCATTAAACTAAAAACCTTTATGTTATAATACATTTAAGAAAGAAGGCAGAGAATTTACAATTCCTGTTCTTTTAGATAATCATAGTATTATCTAACGTTAACATATAAAATTAATGCAGTTTGTTAAGTTTTAGTTTTAAGCCACGTAGATAGATACAAGAAACACTTGTAGTAGTTACGATATATTTAAATAAAATTTCTTTTTAAAAAAAAAAAAAAAAAAAAAAAAAACCTCTGGTGTGAAATAGTTGCTTCAGACGCCGTGGCACGCTGCGGCGGGCGGGCAGAGAGCGCGAAACAGGCATTGGCGCCTACAAACCTAACAGGGATACTTCACGCATTGCGCAATGCGTGAAGTATCCCTGTTAGGTTTGTAGGCGCCAGTGCGTCGCCGCTCCGCTTTGTGTTAGGCTCTAATATTTAATCTCGCGGAGTCAGCGTTATTCAACTCATGATTTTAAAATGCTTGCTTATCCTGTATGGGTTAGTATTCTCGTTTTAATTGATGAAAAAAAATATGTGTTAAAGGAAAATATAACGTGTGTTTTGTAAATATTGAGGTGGTTCCGTATCAAACTTAATGATTTCCAAAGCACACGAATTTCTACACAATTTCTTAAAGCCTCTTATAATCGATGGCGAAATAGCAACCGCACCAGGCGATAAAGTGTAAAGCCCGGCGATAGGAACTATAGCCCGGCTGTATAATTTTTTATCCCTTCGTATATCCCGGCCGTATGATTTTTCCCACTTTCTACAGCCAGCTATATGATTTTCTATCGCCCTCTTCAGTCGGCTATAAGAACTGCTATGGTATTTTGAAACGCAGCTCCTATCGCCAATTTTTACCAGGGCGCCAAAGAAGGACATACCTACCTATCTTCCCTATCATTGACCATAAACGCTCTCAACGGCTTGGTTCAACAGCGAAATACCAAACTCATCAATACTATCGTGCTGATGAAGAACGGTGTATGAGCTTTTAGACGTTGCCAAATTTCCTCCGATAAAAACCAAAATTACTGGGAAAATTGTGATTATTATTTTCTCAAATTTTCAGACAATTTTGTACACAATTTAATCTAAAATATCTGAGAATTTCAAGGAAAAATATGCATACATTTCTCAAGAATACAGGTTTTATCGAGGGAAATCTGGCAACTCCCGAATGTTCATACGGCGTTCTTCCTTAGCACGGCAGAATACATCACCAAGCGCACAAACGTTGGCTTTTCAGCATCTTCAGCATTCTCCATGTTGATGCACACACCGACGGTGAAACTGCAGAAATGCGCATCTGTGTTGCAGTGTTTCGAAATCTCCGCTCTTATTTTTTTTTTATAAAAGGAGACCAAGCCAACATCACGGCTTCAAGTTTTCGCAGACTATTTCTATCTTATACAGCTACAAGCAAAATCTTGGAAGCACTATTTCTGACGAACTACCGGACCGATAAGGATGATCCTTACATGTATGTCATCTGTAATAGCTGTAGATGTGCAAAAAATTGTGAAACCCCGAATTTCCAATGTTCTAGAGCTTTTAAAGCACGTGGGACTTATGTCCAATGTTAAGAGCGTGAGAGATATGTCGTTTCCGCTAGAAACGTCGAGGTGTGAGATTCTACCTGAGTGATCCGAATAGACAATAGAACAATGCTTCCCCTCGCCTCGTGGAGGGCTCCTCATTCCGAGAGTTGAGGATCGGCGCAGCGCTGGAAGGGGCAAGGGGGAAATCCCAATAACCGGAGCCGCCCGGCCTAAGGTTTTTACTCAATTTTTCCTCATTCTTCCGGCTTTGATTCTGGCATTGGTCAATACTTAATTGCCGAATTTCTTATTAATGTAAACAGCATTTATGTAACAGCAGATACAAAGTGAGGAGGCAGGCGCTGCGTCGAGTCAGGACTGACCAAATATTATTAATAAAGTTTGATTCGAACAACACCATTTTAATTTTATTTTTGAAGTAGAACCAAGGTGATGTAATGACCATTCATTACATCACCTTGGTTCTACTTCAAAAATAAAAAAATATTATTAACTTTCAACGGTCATAATCCGATTTTTTTTTAATTAAGCATCTAAAAATAACATACTGAATGAAAATTTGATAGGAGGGTAAAAATAGGGCCGCGAAGCGCGAAGCGGCCCATTGATGGCGCGGAGCGCCTTCAGGGGGTTGGGCCGCGTAGCGGCCAGGGGGCGGACCCCCTAGTTTTTTATACGAAGAAGAACAATCACTGAAATTTCCAACTGATGACGGTCAGTAATTTTCCATGTAGAAAATAAAGTACGACAGGAAGTCCGTAACGCCGCAAATCGAGGTACGCACTTCTGCAGTCTCACCATCGAATTACAAATGTAGGTTAAGTCTCTCTTTGGAAAAAAGTGAGTCAAGGGGTTGTGCTATCTACAAATAGTATGATGATACTCCACACGCACGAGTGATTCTATTCTTATAATGGCCGATTACAGACTTTCTCGCACAAAATTTACTGCGCAGCTCAGTTCATAGCGCCGTTACTCTGAAGCAGATGTGAAGAAGGTGTTTGAACGGATGTGGTCGGTGTAACTGAAAAGTTGCGGCGTTTCAAAATCTCCGCTCCTATTTTATCTTTTGAAGGAGATCGGACCAACATCATGGCTCGAAATTTTCGCAGAATTTTCTTTTCGCGATCAATTTTTCAGCCATCGAATCTTGATTCAGTGACCTGAACAACTGATTCAGTTTGAAATTTATAGGGTGACGAAGATTTGAACCACATTTTGAAATTAGGAACTACAATTTCTGGCTCAATTTAAAAACAACATATCCGCCATTAGATTCCCTTTGCAGATTGGAGTTTTTATCTATGAACTAGAAATCTCATTGCAAAATGTAGTCCATTTAACCGGCTTCCGATGAGGAAAGACCAATTTTCTCACATCGTGTTGCATTATTTATCCCTTAAGCCCAGCCCACACGAGCGTGGTCCGAGGAACTTATTCGACGAACTGCTCAGTTCCCGGAACTTGTTCCTTGCAAGGAGAGATGCTGTCCACACGAGTTCGCCTGAACTGGAACCGGAACTTCAATAAAACTATACAATTATTGCGAAATAATAGATTATTACGGCCGCCAAAGTAACAAAAATAAATGTCAAGACGCATGTAAAGGACGTAAAAAACAAAAACAAACAATGTCACATCAAAAGAAACATATGTAGAAGCTCGGAGTACGGGGGAAGTTCCGGGTTTAGGAGGAATAAGTTTTCAGCTCAGCTAAAACTTATTCTGGGAACAAGTTCCTCGAACTAAGTTCCGCGAACCGCGCTCGTGTGGACAAGGCCTTTCGGACTTGGCATACCGCGTACATATATTCTTTCAGCGAAGACCCCTGACTTTTTTTGGACGGCTTATTCGATGAATGAAAATACCAGCGTTGTGCGGGTAGCTGGTTGCCTAAATGAAAGAGCTCGCGTTGTGCGGGTAGCTGGTTTCCTAAATGAAGGAGTTCGCGTTGTGCGGGTGATCTGCATCCGATTTGAAGGCGCGTTGTCGCGTATACCGCAACGCATTTATTCATATAGAGGTTCTCTATATCCCTTTCTCCCATATTTTCGGTCTCTCTCTATGAATTTTTCAAACCCCAGCATCGAGCAAGCTTCACTTACTCGTTGCTGTGATCAGTCGAACGCATCTATCTTTATTATATTTTTTATTACCAGCGTCACGAGATGGGTTGAATGATAAGGCTCTCTCGGGACTAAGCTCCACTTTTGAGAAGAGGAGTCTCGTCACTTAGGTTTTGACCATCAGCACAGCCTTCCGAAGTGCTCCCTAAAGTCAGTTTAATTGTATCCATCATCTTTGTAACGATTCCAACAATATACGCGAGTCCTGCGTCATCCTACAACACGTATTTTTATTCTGCTCTCCCAACTTCCGCCACGGATAGAAAATTGAGGTGTTTTCAGTCCGCCTTAACACAAACTTATTCCCTATCCGCGACACGCGTGTCTCACCTTTTTTGAAAGTACACTTGTATCTCGTCCATCGTCCTGCCTTTGGTCTCCGGTACGAAGTAGTAGATAAAGGCGATGGTGAGGAAAGCGACGGCGCCGAAAAACCCGAAAACCGCAGACGTGCCCAGCTCGTCCTCGACGGACGGGTAGGACTTGACGACAACGGACATAATGACGTAAGCGTAGGCGACGACAATCCCTTGGCCGACGCCGCGGAACTCGAAGGGTAGGAGCTCGCCGACGAGGGTCCACGGGATAACCAGGAGCCCCAGGGACCCGAAGGTTATGAAAGCCAGGACGATGGCGAAGGAAACGGCGTCGCTGGACCGAGAGCACCAACCAGCCTGGTAGGCGGAGAAGAGGATCGCCGTCAGGCCCACCCCGAGACTCGAGCTCATGAGGAGCGTCCGGACCCCGAGGTGTTTGGACAGGGCGGTCATGCTAACGCTCGTTATAAATCGAATGATTCCCAATCCCATCAAGGCTTGCACTGCACCACTCCTCAAATCAAATTTACTTTTGATCTCGCCCAATTCATCGCCCAGCTCGTGTTTCGTTCCGTTGATGACGACTTTCGCGTCTTGCGGGAGGCTGGTTCTCTGAATGAAGGCGCGAGTGTCGTGAGGGTTGCCGGTCCCCCGAATGAAGGCACTCACGTTGTGTTGGTGGTCTATTAAGGCGCTGGTGTTGAATACGTCTAAGTTCAGCGGGTAACCTGTACTTTTTTCGAAGGAGCTCGAATTGAAAAGCTGAGCTGAGCTAGGAGTGGTCACAATGTGAGGTGTAGTCGGGATTATCATGGTTGTTTCTTCGGATGAGTTGAATTCTGTTGATTGTTGAGCGCGTTTGTTGATTTTCTGGAACAGTTCGAGGGAGTAAAAGATGGTGGGGTAGATCCCTACAAGTTGTTGCAGTGTTATCAAGATGAGGACCACCGCCAGAGGGCGGATAATCTTTTTATCGAGTGACGGTCGTTTCCTTGTTTTTAATAACTTAGGTGCCTTCGGTTCTAAAGATGTCCACTCGATTTCGAAAGCCTACAAAAGGAAAGAAATACAGGAACTGTAATCAATATATTTTCCCGACTAAACACGACTATAGGTAAGATTTTTGAAAGCACTGGATGAACGATCACATTCCGAACCAATTCCGATCAAAGTGGATATGCTGATGACTGATGGTCACCATCTACCATCAAATTTTGACGGGCCGCACTATTTTGTTCAAAGTAAGATCAGAATGGAGTGCCACCATTCATCATTTCCTGCCACAAGAAACATTTCTGCCAAGTCTTCATTTTAAAATTAAGCAAATTAATGAATTTAAGACCGATGACTCCCGACACTTTGATGCTACTTTGATCGGAATTGGTTCGGGAATTTGATCGTCTATCCAGGGCTGAAGAAAGTTGTTGAAAAAAGATTTTGAAATTTTGGAGCGTACAATGAAGCAACAATAAGCGGCTGAATCGATACCAAAAATTTTAAAACAGAGGTGGAGACTTTGTCAAAAAGTAAAGTAAGGTGTACTCAATAAAAAATTATAAATTTCTTTTTGCTGTGATGCTTAGCGGCGATAACTCGAGTCTGAAATAATCGACTCTCCGCGCATCCTGAATCCGGAGGTGGGCACACGGCGATAGGAGGTTGTCTCGGTAAAATCGAGTTTTCTCGCGAAATCCTCGACCGATTCTTAAAAACTTGAGCTTGTTTTAAAGCTCACTGAAAAAAAATCTCGGTGTATTTACTAAGAAAAGGGTAAAATCACCAAGAATTCAGGGTTCTATTTGATCCCAGTTTTTTCTTGGTAAAATTACCAAGAAACGCACGCTTACACTTTACACTTGGAATGGACCACTAGACAAGGTACGAATTTCAACATTCTGATACATATTTCTTAACCAAAATTTCACGTAAAACACGATGCGCACAACGAAAATTACCAATATCAACTTCTTACGAAGATATTTAGTGATTCTTGATGCGTGAATTCAAACTACCCGCTCATGAAAACTCAATGCTCTACGTGATTCACATAGCGCGCTAAACGTTATTATGACAGTCTCTGCGATATAAAAATCTGGCAACCTCAACCTTGACGCTTTGGCTCAGCTATAGCAAATGGCTTATAGTTTGAATGACACAAGGAGGGAAATGAACATTGCTCGATTGAGAAGCTTGCTGAAACCGTTGTAATGCGCGATTTGACTCACGTAGAGCTTTGAGTTTCTTGTGAGCGGGCAGTTCAAATTCCTCGTAACCAATGTGAAATAAAAACGTTAATATCTTCGTTAGGAGTTGGTTTCAGTAATATTCGTTGCGCTTATCGTGTTCTACACGAAATTCTAGTTGAAAAACATGTATCAGATTGCTTAAATTTGTACCTTGTCTAGTGGTCCATTGGTAATTTTACCGAGAAATCTCGGTAAAATTATTGAACTTTCTTGGTAATTTTACTGGACCTTGGTAAAAACGCCAATATTTTTTATCGACTGTGGTAGAATTGCCGAGATAAAATGGCAAAGTTCCCGGGAATTGATTACCAATAAAAGTGGTATTCTCACCTGAAAAAACAGTAAAAATACCGGATTTTAGGTAAGCTTACTAGTCTGTCTTGGTAAAATTGCCATTAGTTGGTAAACAAAGTGAGATGGTAAAGGTACCGACGGACCTTGGTAAAAACGCCGAGAATTTTTTTCAGTGCTGAGAGTATGTAAGATATGTTGTTTCTTCCGATTTGATTTATCTCTTTTCGTTTGGAGGATACAAGGTAGGGAACTTTACTTTTTGGATGACCCTCGTACAAGGAGCAGAAGACGTGAACGTACTCGAGGATCGGTGACGAGGCGGGCGAGGGCTTGCTTGGCTCGTTCGGGGTGGTGCTGGGCGAGCCAAGACGGGGACTCGGGCAGCGTGAGACTGAGCAGAGCCGAGAGGGTGCTCACGCCGAGGCAGAAGACGGCGAAGGCCCGCCAGGCGAGGACCACGCCGACGGTCGTCGTCAGGAGGATCCCACCGGAGAGCGCGATGCTGTTCATGCTCAGGAACAGCGGCCGCCAGTGCTTGTCCGTCGTCTCAGCCACGTAGACGATCGCGATTGACGTCATACCTGTCCAGTAAAACACATCCTCGCTCAATGGGATTCCCATTGTGTAGCATCGCGTCCACACGGAGAGAAAAACTTCGTGCGTGAGACCCGAAGTTTAGGTCATATGGATCTCTGAAGTTTTCGGATTGAGCATCTGAACACTTTAGGTCCAGCTGCTGTGGTTTGGATCACACATCTGAAACTTCAGCTCTTACATCTGAAGTATTTCGGTTTTCGCATCCGAAAAACTTCGGTTCTCATATCCGAAAAACGTCGGTTCTCACATCTGAAGTACTTCAGATGTGAGAACCGACGTTCGAACTCCGACAGCTACACCTAAAGTGTTCAGATGCTCAATCCGAAAACTTCAGAGATCCATATGACCTAAAATTTGGGTCCCACGCACGAAGTTTTTTTCTCCGTGCATGATATTGGACTCCATGTTCACTTTGATGAGGGATAATTTTTTAGAAGAATCGAAGTGAGCATAGCGTCCAAAATTGTGGGGTGCAGGTACTCTCTGACAATACACGAGCATATGGTCCAAAAATTCATTAAGACCATGTTTGTGAAATGAAGACGAAAAAATGAGTTTTCGTGAAGAAATGTGCATTGGTTAGGTTAACGTAGGTTAGGTTAGTAGGTTAGTTCAAGTAAGAAGATAAGAGAAGTGTACGACTTTCTATCACGGTGAACTTTAAAACTGAGAAAGATCTAAATAAATTCTGTGATGATATTTTGGAAATGTTATGAAAACGTACTTTTCCAATAGTCTCAGAATATCCTGTCTGCTTTCCTATCTTCGTATTTAAGTCTCTTCGCCGTTGTACGGGTTACATAATCGCTGATTACAAGGCGCTATAGGAACTATCCGCACCGCACCCTAACATCCCACGGCAGGCACCAGGCAGGAATGAGGCACTTAACACACACATAAGGCGAATTTTTGCGACTGGATTTGGTTGATGTTTTTGTCAACAGACTGGTGAATTGGGTCCCAAAAAAATGTATTCACTAGGACAAAAAAGTCAACCATATCCACTCGGGGAAATTCGCCCATAATCACACTATTGAAAGTCTTAATTGGGCCATATTGATCCGTATTTAAATACGGTGATTTTGATGGCTTTTAAAGTATTATCTATGTTTTTGAGGGTAAGAAATACTCTTTTTAATTTTTTTTTTTATCTTTTTGGTAACATACTGGCGCTTCCGCGCTCCCAACTCGTCCGGTTTATGCAACTTTTCCAGAGAAGATAGTCGGGTCAATTTGATCCGACTATATCTAGGGACTATATTTAGGACTACCCTAGTCCTAAATATGCTTAATATGCCCTAATATATTTTATTTTTACCGCCACCCCTAGAGGTGGCGGTAAAAATAAAATTCCCGACACGACAAAAATCTCGCCTAAATTCCAATTTCTAGACGTGCACCTATAGGGCGCCTCAGAGACCTTTAAATAGTTTGGTCTATTCTTACTTCAAAATTATTGATTTGAATACATCATAGTATATTTCGAGCAAACGTAACCTTAAATTTCTCAAATTTCAAAAGATGCAACTATTCGTGCATGATAGATGTCCGTGTTGCATCTGCAAAATTGAAGGAGCGAGGCGCGAACTCTCAATGCTCCGCTGTATGCTCCCAACCAGGTGTCGCTCATTTTGAGGGGAAATTTAAATAAAAAACGAGGCCGGATTACGTCTCTCCTATCTCCGGCCGTGTTGCTCACGTGGCCCCTAAAATCAATGCCTGGAAAAATATACATAGGAGGGTCTCTCCTCTCTGCACGGAGTCAAAACACTGCTTCATATGGAGCATCGTAGTCTTCAGCCCGAGTAATCGGAGAGCCTCGGTTTGAGTACCTAACCTAATTTTTGGTCAGAATATTAAGATCCGTATTCTTTACAGAAGTATTCGGTCTCTTGAATTGGAGTCCGATTTTCAAATCAGCAAAATGTTACCAGGATCGATAACTTTGATGCTACTTATAAACCAAAATTTGCCCCATGTGACTAAGGCCTTTTTACAGAGTAATATTCGTAAATTTGAAACACAGTCCAAATTGTTTTACCGGATGCGATTCCTTCTAGAAGTCTTGCTAAATAGATCATTTTGATGTCGACTTGAGCTGGAGAGAGGCAGAGCGTTGACCATGCCAGGATATTGATGGCTGCGGTTGCCAGTAGGGTTTTTTGTCTGCCGATGCGATCCATTATGAATCCTATACTTATTGAACCGATCGGTGTTCCAACTGCACCTAAACTTGCTATGGGAGAAAAGAATAATTGGCATTGGCATTAGTCTAAAGTGGGTGCAATAATGATTGAATTACTTTTAGAAGGGAGAGACTACCAGCATTGCAGTTTTGTTGAAATTTTGCAACTTCTTGTTTCTTACAAGAGGGACCTCAAAATTTAATCAGGTTCTTTTTTTTTTAAAAAAAAAAATGTTAATTATATGAAGTAATACTTTTTTTAAATTTATGATTTGATGTCAGTCAATTTATAACGGAAATTATGTTATACGTAATATTAGCAGTATTCTACACCAAAGAGTGAGTCCAAATACTATCTATGTATATCGCCACACCAATGCAATCCGTGTCGTAGCCGGAGAAGGTTATAGGACATTTCCTCAACGATTGTTTGTCCGCGCACCTGTTTTTTCCAGTAATTAACGTCCACGCGTTTTTCCGGCACAGGAATTTTGGTCCACGTGCCAGTTGAGACCCAAAGTTAAGTGACCCACATGTAAATACAAACGACAATTGTTCACGACGTTTTTGGATGAAAATGTATAATGTCTTGGAAGAACGAGAGTTTGCTTGTTTTTTTGTTTTGTCTGTTTCATCCAACGGAGAATAATATATGGACGTATTTCTACCAAACAGACCTATGTGGAGGTGAGAAATGTGGGGTGTGCTCGTTAGTTCTCTGGCCGTAAGAGTGCATGAGAATATTAAAGCGCCAGTGACGTCAGCGGCAATGATCGATCGCCGGCACAACGAACAGGTCGTTGGAGGGACTCTTTAACTCATGAGCCCTGTCCACAAGGCTCTCTTGCCATGCCCGCGGCTCATGAATTCCGCATTCAGTTGCACATAGGTCTGTTTGATAGAATGCAATATCCCGCTTTTCCAATTCTTCAAAAGGAACCACGCCCACTTTTACATTGCTTCTTATGCAGCTTCCTAGAGCACACCCCATATTTCTCACCTCCACATAGGTCTGTTTGGTAGAAATACGTCCATATAGTTGAGAGTTTTGGTAAAAATGGGAAAGCGTCAATTCCATGAGACGAAATTCACTAAAACTCTCTACACCTCTTTGGTGTAACAGGACTTAATTATCTTTCAAGAAATTCTCACCTTGTTATACCTGAACCGGATAAACCTCTATATTTGCCTCAGCTAAAGGCTCTTAGATTTTTCCTGTGTACGATAAGTATCTTGATTTATTCTGCGAGGAAAGATCTGTACTTTTAAAGGATGCCTGTCATTCTTAATACGTTCAATTTCGTATAATACTGTGCAACACCTCTGTTGTGAAATAGTTGCTTCAGGCGCCGCCGCACGGCGGGCGGGCGGCCAGCGCGGAACGCGCATTGGCGCCTACAAACCTAAGTGGATACTTCAAGCATTGTGCGATGCGCGAAGTATCCACTTGGGTTTGTAGGCGCCAGAGACTCTCGCGCTGGCAGCACGCCGCTCCGCTCTGTTAGGCTTTTGTCATGGGAACGGAGTTCCCCATGATATTACAATCGTTCTGTTGCTATCGCTATGGGATTCCCTATGCCTCTGCGACCTTGAGCGTTTCGCCCAGTGTTCGATTTTTGGTTGATTTTCCGATGTATCAAAAACCGTTGTATTTTTTAGCCAATCATGTCTCTACGTCAAGTTGTGTTGATTTCTAAAATTCGCTTTCAGCGAGTTTTTTTCCACCTTGAGATGTTGTGTCTGACTGGTAAATCTGCGCAGAACCACGAAGTTCCGATTTTGGGCAAATTCTTTTTTTTGGGAGGTTCTGATTGGTTATTTTTCGCCATCAGTTTTCTGTTCGTTGGTGCAAAAGATCGCCTACCTTGGTGCTCTTGAGAAGCCGCCATTATCCCACCTCAAATTTTACAAATAGAAATAAAGACATAATAACCATCGTACAAGGTGGAAAATTGCTCTGGAGGACTCGTTATGGACAAATAAGTCAAAATCAGACCTCGATTGATTGATTTAATTCATGGATACGCAAATATTGCCTTAGCTCAACTGCCACGATCGCGAATGCATGCTGGGATGAATCTCGAGACACATTAAAACAGTGCGAACCATGGCTCCTACAGTAATGCGCTTAGCTCATTTCTCTCCTATCTTAGAAAAACAGAAGCTACGAAGCGTCTCAAGGACAACTCTTGTGATAAGTCCCGCCCATCGTCCGAGTCTTTTCTATGCTATTTTTACTCTCTAACACGCCGATTCGTTATAGCCTAGTTGACTAAACCGCCTCATATTTTTGATTAGGTGCGGGCAATAGGCGATCGGGAGTTCGATACCCGACGATAGCAGCTAGTTTTTAATGGTTGTATTGAATGTTTCAGACTAATCATCAACTAATAATTAATACTAGATGATAAATGTACGAACATTTTCTCGTGAGTTAATATGTTAAATAAAAATACTGGAATATACCTCCTTCTTATAATCAGCCACATGTTCACCCAAATTAATGACGTTATTTTCTTTTTTCAATAAAGTTAATTTGCATTCAACGTTCGTAAGTTAAGCAAAAAATACCTATTGATACAAATAGAAAGAAATGAAAATAGTATGTCTAACATTTCAGTTGTTTTTTTTTATTTATTATTTGTTTTTGTTTTTGTTTTTTCAATAAAACAAATTGACTTGGACTAGAATCATTGTATCTCTGAAGACAAAAGCTAAGTTTTTTGATACAGAAATACTAATATTCATCCTTCATATAATCAGGGAGATGTTGACCCAAATATTGATGTATATTTTCTCTGTTCGCCCAAATTAATGATGGTATCTTCTTTTTTCAATAAAATTAATTTACATTCCACGTTCTTAAAGCAATATTTTCTCCAAAATTCAGCAAAAAATAACAATTTATACCTACGCAAAAAAAAAAAAAAATAAATAAATAAATAAAGAAATAAAGCAATGACATGAAAGTAGTATAGTACACATCTAACACTTCAGTTACATCTATTTGAATGAAAAAATGGCAACTTAGGAAGCACATAGGTCACTTATGATGCGTATTCGGGCATATGAGGAGAGTAAAATTATCATACTTTACGCCGAAAAAGCGAAACTAAAAGTTAAATGCGTTAACTTCCGGAAACCATATATAATCCAACGAAAATAAATAATTGGTAAATAACAGCTTTCTTGTATGCAAAGAAAAAAATTAAAAATGTTAAAAAAGAGATGTCGACACAAAATTACATAGCCCCTTCAATTCTGAAGATACTACAAACGAACTGTACCTTAAAATTTTCATATCCCAGAAGCAAAAGTTCCCATGACGAATATTGCTATCGCTAGCGATTGCAAAAACCAACTTGTTAATATTTACACTCGCATAGTCAGCGTTTTTTAACTCATGATTTTGAAATGTTTGCACACTCTGCATTGATTATTCTCATTTAAATTGATGTGAAAAAATACGTTTCAATTTATCAAAGGAGAATAATAATATAATGTGTGTTTTTTAAATATTGGTGGTTCCGTGTCAAATTTAATGCTTTCCAAAGAAAGTACTTTAATTTTTCTTTTACATTTTGTGCTTTAATTGTGCTGCAGCGAGGTGTACGCGCAAACAAACGCTCAAAAGTTGACGTATTTGACTTTAAAAGATCGATGTACAAATGGGTTAAAACTAAAGATTGCGTGCTTCTTGGTTTTTTTCCCTATTTTATTCAATTTTTGCAGTTTCTGTCGGCACAACTGCGGTTCATTGAGATTAATGTCGCTTGGAAAAGGTTTCACAATAGTTGTCACGTTTTAAAAATATAAATTTTTTCAAAATGAAGTAATAATTTTGTAAAGAAAAAATGAAAAAATGAAAAAAAGGTACCTATACATATATAAGGTATTTCGTACATTCAATATTTTAAGGATAGGAATAAAACCAAATATTCACCAATGACGATTTAAAAAGATGATTCAAAAGGAGAAAGTACTAACATTTCGTTTAGAAAATGAGCAACCATAACAACACCTTCTTCTCTCTCAATTTCTCATTTCCATATTGTCAATATAATTTTACATACCGACTAAAATATAACGCTTGGACCAAGTTGCTGTTGCTTATTTTACGTGTGGGCGTAAACTACTGGACAAAAAAGGTGCGCGGACAAAAAATCGTTGACAAAATTTCCTGAAACCCAGAAGAAGGAGGGGAGGGGCACCGAAAATGTCATTTTCCGGGATTCTTTGGATAATGCATTTAAGCCTTATGCCACATTTTTACCATTCACATCTAAAATTCAAGATAGTAGCCTTCAAATTTGGCATTTCGAACTTCAGAACCGCAATTCCTTCAGCCAATTTTAATCAACTTTGATTTGTTTGAGTGAGAGGCTTTAGTGTGTAACATATGCCCATACTTTTTGTCCTCTCTGATCCTCTTTTCCGATCTATCAAAACGGGAGGAATGGGGGCTTTCTTCACTTTGGTTTTTTTTTTTTTTTTTTTTTTTTTTTTTTTTTTTTTTGAACCGGTAAAAATTACGTTGCCTTGATCTGGCACCATAAAATGAAGTAAGAATATGGAAGTGGTACATTTTATTTACTTTTTACTCGTATCATTAAAACAACTTATCACTACGACGACATAAAATTTGCCCAGGCGGTCTGAGCAAGCAATTAGTACGTGCTATGTCCAATCTTGAACTCATCGTTAACTCACGTCCAATGTTTTTTTCCATTATTATTTTTTGGTAATCGTGAGCATAAAATCTTCCAGAAATATTTTTGAAGCAAGATCTCCAACTCCTTAATGGTAAAATGAACTTGTGTATCTTCATAATTAATTTTTTCGCTTTTCAGTTGTACGTACCAATCCATGACGCTTGCTCCTTGGTTATATCCAGCTGAGGATGTAGAACTGTCGAGAATGAAAGATTTATGCCGGCATGAATCACATGACTGAACGCCACCAGACTTGTAAAGCCCTGAAATTTCATGGTGTACCTATTTAATGTGTCTGTATTTCTTGTCACTTCAATGATACAATTTTTTATGAATAAAATTTATATAGGGCCACCCAAAGTCTTAGGACATCCCTTTAACTTCTGAACGAATTGAGATACAGGCTTGGAATTTGTAAAGTGCTCTTGGATCAAAGTAAAGTACTTCTGGAATTCCCCGAAAGTTTCGGGTCTCCCTGGATCGGGGACCGCAACTCTTTTTTTTTCAAAAGGCAACCCCTATTTTGTGGCACATTTTGGATGAATAATGAAGAAGGATAATTTTTGTCACAAATTTCAGGCCAATATCTTAATTTTTGACAAAATAGTGGACTGAAACGGCAAAGTCCCTTTTTAAAGGTTTCATGGGTGTTTACCGATGGTTTTGATAGACTTAATTTCTAAATTGGTGCCGACATGAAAATGTTTTTGATGCCTACAATAGAAATTGAAGGCAACCTGAAATGACGTTAATATTACCTTTTGCATGCCGTTTGGTAAAAAGCTTTTTACTATGTGAGTCTCGAGTACTCCTAAGTGAACGTGCCATTTCACGGCGATACCACTATTCGACCAATTGGGATCTCGTATTGTCTATATGCTGAAATTGAAGGCGAACAGACGTTAATGTAATCTTTCCCCGCTTTTTGTAAAGATATTTTTTATGCAGGGTGGACAAAAAGTCTTGACATCCGGCGCCCCAAGAGCCAAGACATTTGGGTCATCCTGTATATACATATGTATTCATGCTTTTAGAAATTTTACAAATATGGAAACCCACGCTGCTTTTTATGAAAGTCCCATTATTTTTCGTCAATATGTTTAAAGATCGGTAAAAGTATCTACCTGGTATAGGATATCCCTCTTACTATGGATGAACTCTGTTTTAGTTGAGGGTCTCTCTACATCGAAGTTTCTGAAAATGAAAGAAAAATATGATCTCAGAACTTTAAAATATTTAGGTTCCTTACTAGAAATTTACTCACTGTTCATCATATGTTTGTTTTTGCAAGCTGATGTCATCGTTCAGTGGTCTTTCAAAAGCTCCATGTTTCAGTTCGATCAAATCTACACGTATGCGAGCACTCCATTTCCATGATTGACCTATCAGAATTGTAGAACCCACGTTCAAACTGATGAATCAAACCAGATTAACAGCGTTAAGATTTGCAAAATTTACTTCTCAAAATCTCTCCCTGACACGATCCTTCCTCAGTTCCAGCCAGACCAAGGCACCATTCAGCGACTTTCAGGTCAATCCTAGAAATATCCAAGTCGACAGGACATGATAAGTATTAGTAAGCTGCTGTGGAATTTTGTGATCGGTCCGTTGTATCGCTCGATCTTTTCGTCGCAAGTACATTGAGAGGGATACACAGCTAACCACGAAAAAGCTTGAACATTCGAGCTAAGCGATTTCAAATTATTTTTTGAGTAACTATTTCAAATTTTTGAAAGAACGCTTGTAAATTTTTTGAGTGAATTTTCGGATTTTACCTCTTCACTTCCAACGAATCATCGAAAGCTTATCCAAAGTCACAGAATATGAAGCTCCTACTTTTGTAGGTACCTACTTTCTTAAAAAATATAAATACGTAATGACATGATTGACGAGATTGACGTAATGGCGTAAAATGAGTGACTTTAAAAGAAAGAAACGTTTCGAAGAAATGTTTATAATGTAAACCTTTCTTCGAAACGTTTCTTTCTTTTAAGATCGCTCTTTTTTCTCGATTTTTCACGTGTAAAATTTCACGCTTTCGACAGGTTATCCAAAAATTGTCCTCGACTTGCGCAGTTTTCCCTCCGCGACATAAGTCACGAATTCGTCCTCAACAATCACATAATTTTCCCTCTGGTCATCGGTGATTCCTGGATTCGTACAATTTTCCAGGTTCATCTTCAGTTTTAATTTCATCATCCAGCCATGAGCCGTTATTCTGATGACCAGACTTGCAACTGATAGCTACACTGATTACAACCAGTCAATCACGTCAACAAATCTACATAAGCGTGGGCTGCCCCCTTTTCGTAGTCTCCTTCATTTTCAACTCTCGTGAGCTGATTCATGACAAAATTGACTCAAATGGCATATTAAATGCTTCAAAAATCCAAAAATTTCTAGGACGAATCCCCCGAGCCCCCCTTGCGCCTTCTTTTCAGGTGTCTGGGTCCGCCTATGCCGGTGTAATAGTGTAATACTCACTCAATTTCAACTGGATCGCCGTGCTTCGGTAGAGCCGCATAGACTGCATTGCCAGAACTGCAACTCATTTCCTGGCTCACACATAAACACAAAGCACCATTAAAACTCTCAACAGTGGAACTCACTTTCGCGCACCCGTGATCGAGCAGCCGGAATGACTGCACTGACGCGCACGTTACCGCTAAAATGCGATCGAAGGTCCTCGACTGAGAGGTTATCTAGGAATTCTCGAGTATCAGACACATCTCACCCCGATTTTGAGGGGGTGGGGAGGGGGGGATTGTTAACAAGAATATTTCGAAGAGGTTGATAGCCAAGACGCCAATCACGGTTTGATGCCAATCCACACATCAAGCGAACACGTTATTCAATATTGTACGTATTCGATGGTTCGCCTGTAACAGATAGACGTATTTCTATCAAACGGAACACCGAAAAAAAAAAGATACTTTAGTAACATTCCGGATATTACGGATGTTAATAAAATGTGCGACAACTTTTTGGATGTTGCTATTAACACTCTGGCAGTTAACGTGGCATGATAGGATGTAAAAGTAACATCCTAAGATGTTACTTTAACAGCCAGAGTGGGAATGACAACATCAAAGAGTTGTCGCACATTTTTTTAACATCCAGGATGTTATTACAGCTCCTCCTTTTTTTCGGTCAACTATGTGCATTATGACGTGAACCCTGAGACCCATAAGAGTATATGCATAACAGGGCTTACATCATAATGCACATAGTTCCGTTCGTTAGAAATACTTCCAAACGGACTGTTTAGATATCAAACGCTTCATTGAGGTGTGACACAATTTAATGGCGATATAGCGAATGACGTGGCCACTAAGTCAGTTCATTGGCATTTATGATAATGGTTTGAATTTGACACCAAAAGCATGTGGATTGGATAATGAGTGACCTCTATGACGGAGTGAGACGATAAGCCTGTCACATTAAAGTACATCGTTAAAAATCGAAAAGTGAAGTATCGATATATGATTCACTCTGGACTCTATATAGCGATTATGAATGCGTGGTGAAATGCGCTCCACAGCTAACAGCGTACAATACTGCTTTGAGGGGGTAAAATCCACTCCGTAATAGTGTAAGTCACTCCCCAAAAAGAGTAGCTTTAACCCAGTATTCATTTCACTCGGGTTGTCAGGGCGCTATACAGACTCCGGCACAGAATCTCACTCCAAAATGTTTAACAGAGTATGGAACACAGTCCGGGTTAAGAATTATTACACCACAAAAAACTTTTTCTTATTTGCATTTTACGTAGAGGTAGATTATGATAACGTGTCGCGTAATATCCCAAATCACCCTAAAAGCGTGTGATTAGAGGACACTATTTACACTTATTTTACACTGGATTCAGTAAATTCAAACTTTTCTGACCACAAAGAAAAAGAAAAAAATGAAAATATAAAGTCAGTTTGAGTCCAACGGGACATTGAGAATTAATAAGCATTAGAAGAATAACCACAATTTGGATTCACAAAAATTAATTTTTTATGTGCGGAGTGCCTCAATTTATAAAGAAAAAATTGTAACTTGGAAAGAAGTATATCGCGACGTATTGCAAACTTGATTTACTGACCAATTTGACTTAGGTGAACTTAGGATTCAAAGAAAGTGGCACGTTTGCATTACCGAATGCCCGAAGATCTCACTTATGAATAGACTAAAGAAATTTTAAAGTGTCACCCGCGTTCTACGTGAAATTTTAATGAGGAAACATATATTGTGATGCTTAATTGCCTTCCTTGGTTAATGGTCCATTGTCATGGTGGAGAAAAAAATCCGGACAAAGTTGTTACTATTTGGCAACTGGTGGGCTGGGGATGTGTAAGGTTACGGATCCAGGTGATCAGGAAGTACAGTACGGCGCACTAATCCACTTGTTAGTACATCGACCTTGAAAATTGATAAGGGTTTAATCAAACGCTTACGGCGCGTCATTTATCTGATCAGTTCGTGCGTTTCCCACGATGGCGCGCCGATCGATCAAGCTTTCGACTTAAACGTTTACCTACAGCTGTGCTGCCGTGCTGAGGAAGAACGCCGTATGACCATTCGGCAGTCGCCAAATTTCCCTTGATAAAGCCTGTATTTTTGACAAAATTCGTGCATAGTTTACCTTGAAACTTTCAGATATTTTAGATCAAATTGTGCATAAAATTGTCTGAAAATTCTGAGAAAATAATATTCAAAATTTTCCTAGTAATTTCGGTTTTTATCGGAGGAAACTTGGCAACGTCTGGAGGCTTATACGGCGTTTTTCCTTCGCACGGCAGTGCAGACTTCCTGCCATGCTGCTCCTACATGGTAATCTACTGAACGTCCTTTTTCTGAAAAAAATTTCGGTGCTTTTCCTTTTCTTCATGAGGAATAATCTGTGAAATTCTCAAGACACACGGAGAAAAAAACTTCGTGCGTGGGATCCAAAGTTTAGGTCATATGGATCTCTGAAGTTTTCGGATTGAGCATCCGAACACTTATGGTCCAGCTGCTGAGGTTTGCATCACACATCTGAAACTTCAGTTCTTACATCTGAAGTGCTTCGGTTTTCGCACCCGAAAAACTTCGGTTCTCACATCCGAAAAACTTCGCTTCTCACATCTGAAGTACTTCAGATGTAAGAACTGAAGTTTCAGATGTGTGATCCGAACTTAGACAGCTAGACCTAAAGAGTTCAGATGCTCAATCCGAAAACTTCAGAGATCTATATGACCTAAACTTTGGGTCCCACGCACGAGTTTGCATGATGTTGGTTCGGTTCATTTTTTTAAAAAAGTAGCGGAGATTTTGAAACACCGCAACCGAGATATGCATTTTTGCCATTTAGTTGCCGATTTGTGCAAATGTGCGTTGTGCGTATTGATCGATGATGAATCTGAGGTCTAAAGTGGAAGTAAGCTACTGTAATGCATGGCGTTTATCACCTCGCACATTTCCGCTGGTGTTGGGTGGATCTGAGCAACTTTGAATTTGAATAATTTTTAACTGTTTGTTACTTTCTAGGATACAACACGAAACACAGATTCTGTAAATAGCAAAAATGACCCATTCCAATTTCATGCATTTAAATCCGGCAACTATCATGGTTGGAGAATTGCCCCGGTGAGTTGGCGCTTTAAGTTCGCCTTCAATTGCGAGTGATACCAAGCAACGCTCGGGCGGTCGAATAGTTGCATCGCGCTTATGTAGGCTGGGTGTCGATCGCAATCATTCTCATTGGTCTTCTTTAAAACTGTAACTTAGCGCTTCTTCGTCTCATGGGTTATGTACTTTTAGACACTCGGGCGTTGGAATTATTCATCCCAGATTTTGGTCCTCCACTAAAAGCGGCCTTTCCTAAGAAATATTGACCAATGGACCACTAGACAAGGTAAGAATTTAAGCAATCTGATACATGTTTCTTAACAAGAATTTCACGTTGAACACGATTCGCGCAACGAAAATTACTGAAACCAACTCCTAACGAAGATATTATCGTTTTTATTTCACATTGGTTACGAGGAATTTGAACTGCCCGCTCACAAGAAACTCAAAGCTCTACTTGAGTCAAATCGTGCACTACAACGGTTTCAGCATACTTTCTCAATCGAGCAATGTCCATTTCCCACCATGTGTTGTTCAAACTATTAGCAATTTGCTATAGCTGAGCCAAACCTTCAAGATTGAGGTTGCCAGATTTTTATATCGCAGAGACTATCATGATAAACGTTTAGCGCACGATGCGCATAACGCAGAGCATTGAGTTTTCATGAGCGGGCGGTTTGAATTCACGCATCAAGAATCATTAAATATCTTTGGAAGAAGTTGATTTCAGTCATTTTCGTTGTGCGCATCGTGTTCTACGTGAAAGTTTAGTTACGAAACACGTATCAGAATACTGAAATTCGTACTTTGTCTAGTGGTCTATTACCCATATTTCAGGAGAGTATAAGCGAGGGAATATTTACTCGCTTCCTCCTTTACATATTGTGAGGATCGAAGAAAAATAAGATTATGGGAGATCAATAGACATAGGACACTCAAAAATGAAATTAACTAATCCTGATGTAAAAAATTAAATGTCTTTATTTCTCAACAAAAAATCCACTACGTAAAAAGGAGCATTTACTGGAAAAATTCATAAAAATGAACTAAAGCGGAGACAAGATAGCATGTGAACATGGTTGAGATTCCTAGGCACGTAAGGTAGGGACACGTAAATATTTCAGGTCTCTGATTTAAATCTTTCTCTCATAGCTGGAGCTCTTATAATTCAGAAAGCAAACATTTCAAAAGGGAGAGGCTTTTTGTATAGTTGGATTTCATTTTTTTCCAAGGGAACTTAACTATTTCTAGCTTAATTTAGAAACAAAGCATGTGCCTTAGATTTTCTGTGCACATAAGAGCTTGAATGGATGAGCCTGAAATAGTAATTCCTGACTACACAATGTAGTTAAGTTTAGGAGCTTCAAAGTGCGGCAATTTCTTTTCAGAAAAGCATGCACTCTGATTATTTTGTTGTTTCATTTATTGATTTTGATGGAAACGATATGCTCCTTTCATTTGAAATTAGAAGGTAAAATATCAACGGATTAGATAAGTATATAGGTATTCATTATGCAAGTTAATGTAGAACAGATGAGAAAAGAGTTTTGAGAAAACTTAAATTTACTTTCACTTTGGTACTTATTCGCCAATTTATTATAATTTTTTTTAAGAGTCAATTTAGAAAATAAGTATGATATCACAGCCAGCATAAACTCACACAACCGATTTCGACCTTCTCTCTGATTTTATATTAATAATTCACCAAGTATAAACAATTAAAGAGAAAGATCGAAAGTTAAAAATTATAACCTCAACAATAAAAGGATATCACGGACTCACGTATGATGGGCTCTAGAAAAAGGCTCGCAATTTCAAGAACAACGTCTTTGAAGTTGAAAGTTCCATGGAAGCTCATGACAGGAATGAACTTGAAACGTGGCTTCAGAGACAAAAATATGAATTCTAGATTTCTAGCACCTTGCCCTTAAACAAATCTTACCCAAATTTTCTGTTTTCTCAATTGTTTCCAGGACTTTCGTTAAAGAAACCCCTAATACGAGATTTAGAAATGACACGAATAATTAGACAAGTTAGATTCCAGTTTGGACACTTGGAGATAGAAATTGATCAAAGATCGGGAATCGGTGCAAATCAATTTACCACACCGAGAGCAATCAAATGATAAGTATACATCTTAACATCCAACTTTTTGTAGTATCTATCCTTTTTGATCATCATGTGCACCTCCTGACTAAGATGCAGAATGCTGCGTGAATTCAAATATGGATGAGGTTTTCACATTTCTCGATAAATATAAGTTATCCGATAATCGGTGATCAATACGAACCGAGTCATCATGTGTTTTTTTTTACTCATCTCTATCCACTCAATCAGTGTTCGAAACTCACAGGCGCCAACGCGCCAAATGCGCCAAAAAAATCGGCCATGGCGCCTAAAAAGTGAAGGCTCTGCGCCAACGTGGCCCCTAAAAATTGCCCCCTAAAAATCCGAAATCTCATATCAGGTGATTATTTTAAATTTTCAGCACTATAGTTGAAAGCTTTTTCTATTCTTCACGAGTTCATCCTCAGTGCTTTTGTCTTCCCCAAGTTACAGCTTCTTACTAGTTCTGTTACTAAAACATCTTGCGTCTAACTTTTCACTAAATGCGCCGTAATATATAGGCGAAAAGTCAATTTGGCCCCTAAAAAACCTAAAATGGCGCCAAATAATCGGGCTCAATGCGCCTCATGGCTCCTAAAACTCAAAGGTGAGTTTCGAACACTGCCCTCAATGGTTACAGCCTGTGTAAAGGAATCGAAACATCAGCGGCGTAGCGTCCAGTTAGACAGGAGGTCTGAGCGCTCTAATTTCACACTGACCAAAACCACGTTACTCTGATATCAGAGTACTTGAGGTAAGGTCGACGTCTAAATTATCGATTTTAACGTCGGAGGGTATTTTCTTCTCAAGCAGTCTATCGTAAGTCTCGCTTGCTTTTACTAGGATTACTCGAAGAAACGTTTTTAAGGGAAACCTACTTAAAGAAGTCCTCAATCTCTTTGAAAGTCTTGCCGTGTGTCTCCGGAATGTACAAGTAGACGTAGACGGAAGCCAAGGCCGCAACAAGGCCGAAAAATACGAAGACGCTTGCCAGACCGACCCAATCGACAGCGTACGGGTAGATCTTGACAGCTACGAACATGAGAATATAGGCATAAGCGGTCATGAATCCACCCCCCTTGGCGCGGTAGCTTAAAGGGATGAGTTCGCCGATCTGCGCCCAGGGGATGACGAGCATGCCGTAGGATTGAAGGAGGAGGAAGAGGAGGACGAAGAAGAGCGGGAGGAGGTCGCGGACCGGGCCGAAGACCCCGGACATGACAGCGGCGAAGGCGAAAGCCGAGAAGGCGGAGCTCAGCGCCGAGGAGATGAGGATGGGCCGGCTGTTGACGTGCTTGGTGAGGAGGACGGCCAGGCCGGACATGCCCACCCGGATGACGCCGACGCAGATGAAGCAGAGGGTGTCCAGGTCGCCGAGGCGGAACTCGTGCTTCTGGACCAGGGGGAGGGTCACGTTGGTGGGGGCCGGGGTGGGTGCGTGGTTGGAGGTGGTCGTGGCGGACTGGACGACCGTCTGGAACATCTGGAGGGCGTAGACGACGACGAGGTACCCGCCGCCGAGCTGCTGGAAGGTGAAGACCATGGCTAGTCGCAGCATCGGACGCCGCACTTCCCGCGACAGGAGCCGCGCTTTGCGGAACGTGCTGCTTGCGCGGGCGCTCCGCCGAGCCTCCAGTGCTTCCCATTCTTCATTGAAGTCCTGCAATATTTTCAAAGATCCAATGTAAATATACTTGGACGTGTTTCTATCAAAGAGAACTATGTGCAGGTGGGAAAGATGGGTGTGGGCCATAAGAATGAATGTATAAAATTTGAAAATTTAAAAAACTTTTAAAAAGCAAACTTAAAATCACTCACTTGCATACAATTTTCAATTTTTTCAATTTTTTTAAAATTGTTTTCAATTTTTTTTTTAAATTTTTTTAAAAATTTTTTAATTTTTTTTCAATTTTTTCCCAATTTCTTTCAATTTTTTATGCAAGTGAGTGATTTTCAGTTTATTCTTTAAAAGTTTTTTTAAATTTTCGAAATTTTTTTAAATTTTTAAATTTAACCTATTCAACGACTGTTGAGTATATTGTTGTGTAGTGATTTAAACTCCTGTAACAATTTCTCATAAGAATGAATGGGAACGATAAAGCGCCTGTGAAGTAGCCGCCGCACCAGTAGCCATTCGTCGTCTTTAACTCATGAGCCCTGTGCGTAACGCACTTGACATGTCCACGGCCACGGCTCATGAGTCTTGTATTCAGTCGGCACACAATTCCGTTTGCTGAATTAGAAAAGCAGGATTTTACATTCTGTCAAACGGAACTATGTGCACCTTCCCTGAGCCGTGGGTATGTGTCAAGAGCGTTGTGCACAGGGCTCATGAGTTAAAGACGACGTATGGCTACTGGAGCGGCGGCGGTGCACTGAAAAAAAATTCTCGGCGTTTTTACCAAGGTCCGTTGGTACCTTTACCATCTCACTTTTTTTACCAATTATTGGTAATTTTACCAAGACAGGCTGGTAATCTAACCTAAAAACCGGTATTTTTACTGTTTTTTCCAGGCAAGAATACCACTTTTATTGGTGATCGATTCCCGGTAACTTTGCCATTTTATCTCGGTAACTCTACCTCAGTCGATAAAAAATATTGGCGTTTTTACCAAGGTCCAGTAAAATTACCGAGAAAGTTCAATAATTTTACCGAGATTTCTCGGTAAAATTACCAATTCCATAAATGGTAATTTTACCAAGAAAAAACTGGGATCAAATAGAACCCTGTATCCTTGGTAATTTTACCCATTTCTTAGTAAATACACCGAGATTTTTTTTTCAGTGTGGGTAAAACTAGGGTGATTACCTGTTTGTTCTTGTTGAGTTTGACGAGAGCCCGTTTGGCTTGTTCGGGGGAGAAGCGGACGAGCCAGTGGGGGCTCTCGGGGACGAGGAGGATGAGGGTGATGTTGACGAGGGAGACGCCGAAGCTGAAGAGAGCGAAGGAGCGCCACGGCATCATGATGCCCACGGTCGTCGCCACGAGGACCCCGCTCGCCAGGAACACGCTCACCGTCGCCAGGTACACCGGCCGCCAGTGCTTGTTCGTCACCTCCGAGACGTACACGATCACAGACGTCGCCAAACCTACCCCAACACAAAATCAACCCAATTAGTCCCTTCTTCATGCCACATCAGAGACAAGAGACCCTCCACTCGTATCTTGGCTATTAAGGAAGCTTTTACTTTCGGGACATCAACATTGAAATGTTGACGTACCTACATGGTTGATGTTTAACAACGTGTTGGCAGGTGATGACTGTTGCTCCCTTGTAATTGTCAATAAGGAAGTGTTGAATCCCTGAAAAAAAGCTTCCCCTGTCGCCAAGAGGCCAGTGGAGTGTCTCTTGTCTCTGTGCCACATACACGGGAAAAACTGTCAAGGCTTTGCGGTATCCCCTAAAATTGCACCGCGAGGGCCGGATTAAGGGGGTGGCCACATGGGCCGCGGCCCATGGCGACAAATCTAGAGGGCGGCAAATTTTGCAATTTTTTTAAATGTAGGTATAAAAAAATCGGATTCAGAAAAAAAAATTACAAATTAGAAAAGACTACAAAAGGCAAGAGTGTAGTAATTTTTAATTTTGTCGTCTTTCAGTGAAACAAGAGACAGCACCTTTAATTAGTCGAGTTAAGAGAGAAACCAAACACGCAATTTGGCCTGGAACGGCGCGGCGCAAAGAGCAATGATGACGAAGACTTGAGATGAAAAGGAGAAGCCATCGACGCGGCGATTGGCATGTAACTCATATCAGCGCCTACAAGACTGCACGAATACTTCACGCATTGCATCAAACACAGTTCAGTCATTGCGGTCAGCGTGAAACGGATAGCGCCTACAAGACTGCGTGAATACTTCACGCGTTGCGCCAAACACGGTGCGGTCTGCGCGGCGCGGCGGAAGTTAAAATCATTAAACCACATTCACGTTTGTTCTTTCATAATTTTTTCGTTCATTTATTATGAATGGAAGGCCTTGTCCACACAGAGATATGTTTACAAAACTTAACTTTTGCCAGTAGTGTTGACAGGGCATCCCCAAACAATGTGTTCAACACGAGTAAACGCGGCTCATGCACCCCTTCCCGCTGGCACGTTCACTTGATGGTTTTTGATGTTTCAATACGAATGAGAAGGGGGCGGCAAAATACAGGCGGCCCATGGGCGGCAAATAGGTAAATCCGGCCCTGCGCCTCTGGCGTTTACCAGAAAGGAACCAAGCTGCATTAGCTATTCCCTTTAACTGGACAGTTTAATTTTTCACATTGAAATGTTTGTGGAGATTCCTCTGAAAACTTTGAAGAGTTCGCTTCGCGCTGAGCAGTAAAGTCACCGAAATTTGCACAAAAATCCGCACAACTGTTTTTATGTAAAAAATTAAACTGCCCAACTATTGGTAAGCCAGATTGGTATTGGGTTGCCAGATTTTCTTCGATATAATGTTCATCTTTGAGAAGAGTTATGAATATTTTTCAGGAACAATAGGTGCAATTCCGAACTGAATACTCTGAAAAATTGGAAGGAAAATATGCATAATTTTACCAGGAAATTCGTGTTTTATCAAAGGAAATTTGGAAGCTCCTGAAGGTTCATACGGCGTTTTTCCTTAGCACGGCAGTGTTACCAAAAATTCGCTTATACAAGTAAGAAAAGGTTCTCTAACTTTTACTAGCTTATGGCAGCATATACTGATATTTCTGACTGCTAAATGTCTGATGAAGGATACCAGAATCTCTTTATTTTTCGGGAAGGAAAAAATAAAATCCTTGATATTATCATGAGCGGTCAAGAGGATGAACACTGTGATGACTTTTAACACAAAGAACGGCTAATTTTTCTGGTGAGCTAAAAATTATAAAACTCGCGGTCTTTTATCAAAAGCGGAATTGCAACAACGGAGCAGTCTATGTACGCAGCGTTCGAATTAACGCCTGACTCGGATACGACTCTTACTTCTCTGAGGACGTGCGTGTTGTAAGTCGATGAAATTGAAGGCGCTCGAGCTTTTCTTACACAACATACGTAGTAACTCACGTACTGGAGACTGGAGCCCAGTTCATCTCCCGCGGTCGCTGCTGATATCAACGGTAAAACTCCAATGCATATCTCTGCAGTGTTTCAAAACCACCACTCTATATTTACTGACTCCTTAAAGAGATCTTTCAACCAATTTTTCTTCTAGACTACCCAATACTCATCCGCTCATTCGTAATCCATAAAAGCTTAAACATTAGAAACGTTAAAACGCCAGTTCGGTGTTTAGTCTCTCACCTAGAGCAATCCCACTGATAAATCTGATGATATACAGCAAGTTCAAATCGAAATCCTCCGGCAAGGAAATGATCATTGCCCACGTGATGGAAGTCAGAATCGCCGTGAAAATACATGTTCGCTTCCGTCCAAATTTGTCCAGCATCGGCCCAACAAATAGAGAGCCGATTGGCATTCCGATCGATAGTAGACTGGCTGTAAACAAATAGAGCATTTGGTAATTAGGTGGTTGAGTCAGGGAAGATCCTCTCTCGTATCCCGGAGAAAATTTTTCACTTGTCTCGTTAACTCTTGTGGAAGGAGTAAGCTTATTTTCGAATTTGTATAGCAAGTTTTCGTGTAGGGTATAGGTATACTGCCGTGCTAAGGAAGAACGCCGTATGAATATTCGAGAGTTGCGAAATTTCCTTGGATGGAATGTTTATTTTTGAAGAAAATTATGAATGTATTTCCTTGAAATTTTCAGAAACTTTAGATCAATTTACAGGCAAAATTATCTGAAAAATTGGCGAGAAAATATTCAAAAATTTTCCTGAAAATTAGTAATTTGCGAGAGGACATTTGGCAACGCCTGAAGGCTCATACGGCGTTTTTCCTTTGCACGGCAGTATATATGGACTGCATTTTTCAATTTGGAACCACATTACCTGGCTCAATTTTGAAACGACGTATGTACCATTTGTTTCCTTGTATGCCTGAGTGGTTTTACGGATGGGCTGGAAATTATAGTTCTTCATTGCAAAATGTAGTCCATTTACATTATGTAGCTAAAAGTTATACTTCTCAGCGTAAAGCTAGATTTTTATGACGTTGTGTGGGGAAGAGTTGACGCACGTATGTTCGTCGATTTACGGGAAGGATAAAAATAGCAGAGATGCGATTAAAAGTGAGAAATCTGATTGTGAGAATTTAGCACGGTTACTCGTATGTTCTTGCCAACTCAAACAATCAGTTGCGTCATATCTAACATAAAACCGTAGAGCATGGCTTAAAATACAGATGGCGCTCGCGACTTGAATTTTCATTTTATTCGTCTTTTTATTTATTTTTATTTTTTCAGAGCTAAGAGAGAGAATCTACTTTACGAGACAATTTACTTATTCTTTTTTGTGATCGATTTACGCACACACGTACTCCTTCCGTCATTCATTGGCGAAAAATTTTCAGCACATAGTTCGGGAGCGATTTGCCAAAATAATCAAGCTGCAAAAACAGTCTCAATTCGATTTTATTTTCGTCACTACCATGCCTTGACAGATGACCTCGCAATCTTCCCCTCTGAACTGTTGCACTGTGTTGCCATTTTGAGGTCAATTGTCGCTTTTTCCTGTACCTTTCATGTAACCGCACGGGAGAGGACCATTTTTACCCTTAATAAAAAGTCTTCCTAACCTTAGCAATTGTAAAACTTCATATGTATTTTTCTTATTTTTGTATTAAAAATTGCCACTATTAGAACCCTGAGACCATTATACTAGTTTTATTATTTATGAATTTTTTTTAAACATATTCAACTGAAAATGGAATTTAAATTTAAAAAATGAAAAATGAAAATTTGAAAAATTATTCGGGGTTTCCTCTTTTTCAAATCTTCCTCATGAGTTCCAGTGTTTTTTTCATTAGTGTCCAAAGTACGCACTGCCTCTCACATTTAATACAAGTATCTCTCTTTAAATTAAATTGTTATGTTAGAAAATCCCCGAATAAAATATTTCATTCATATTTATTCAGAGGGAAAACCATGCGCATTAATGATGCTCAAAATTAATTTTGACTGAAGAAGCTGGGGCCATCGGTAGAAGGTCTTATATTTTCGGTGAAAAGTTTGGACACATATCTGAAACTATCGCAGATTCAAAGATTGTGGATGAGAAATCGGGATGAGAGAGAGGCTTTTGAAATCTGCTTAATGTTTAGCCAGCGAGCATAACATCAATTCACTCACCTATCCACGCGTTTTGATATTTGGTGATGTTTAGCTGAGGGTAAAGAATGGTCGATAAGGTGACGCATATTCCCGGATGAACGAGGAGACTCAGAACTCCGAGACTAACAAACGACTGAAACAAACAGAAAAAAATAATAATAAATTATATCATAAGGGTACTTATTTGATTTATTATAATGTCTAGATTCAAGGGAACTCGAAAAATCTTTCTCAGATACCGAAATCTTTTGCGATTTCAAGGATCGGTAACATTCCAACACATGTAAACAATCAATGCATTTTTCGGAAAATTGTAAATGTCTCGATAAAAACCAGTAACAGTTTACTTTATTGGTCAAATGAGCAGCGCTGGAATTAATTTAAGGCGTAGGAGAAACAAACAAAGCGTTTTCAGTCAGGGTTCGTCATACGACGAACACAGAACGAATTTCATTACAGCGCCTGAATGAAATTATTCGAGTATGTCCGTGTTGCATATGCACGAATTTGAAGGCGTCTTAGCTTTCCAGGCACTTACCGCTTCACCAGCGGCAACTATATTTCGAGGATCCAAAATGACAAAACGTCTTCAATCCTCGTTTCACTGAAAAAAAAATCTTACATTTTTTGCCAATAAATATTCTTTCTTGAATCAAGAATGCTGATTAATTTCAGTTACTTTTTTGCTTAATACGATCGTCGTTTGTCTTTTCCAAAGAAAAATTCAGCTTGAATCAAGTTGATATAATTCTTCGCGAAGCGGAAAATCAAGAATGGACCACTAGACAAGGTACGAATTTAAGCATGATACATGTTTCTCAGTCAAAATTTCAAGTAAAGCACGATTCGCACAACGAAAATTACTTAAACCAACTCCTAACGAAGATATTAACGTTTTTATTTCACATTGGTTACGAGGAATTTGAACTGTCCGCTCACAAGAAACTCAAAGCTATACGTGAATCAAACGCGCACTGCAACGGTTTTAGCAAGCTTCTCGGTTGAGCAATGTTCACGTCGAGCCATGCGTTGTTCAAACTAAAAGCAATTTGCTATAGCTGAGCCAAATCGTCAAGATTGTGGTTGCCAGATTTTTATATCGTAAAGACTGTCATGATAATATTTAGCGCGCGATGTGAATCACGTACAGCATTGAGTTTTCATGAGCGGGTGGTTTGAATTCACGCATCAAAAATCATTGAATATCTTCATAAGGACTTAATTTCGGTAATTTTCGTTGTGTGCATCGTGTTTTACGTGAAACTTTGGTTAAGAAACATATATCAGAATGCTGAAATTCGTACCTTGTCAAGTGGTCCATTGAAGACGCTCTGTCCTATTGGATCCTCTCAGTGCATTCCGCCGCTGCGCCGCGGGTGGAGGGTGAGTGCCGAAGCGTCAAAACGCCTTCAATTCCGTGCGTATACAACACGGACATCCGGAGAGCTCGAATAGTTGCATCCAGTCGTTATGATGAGATTCGATTAGTGTTCGCTGCATGTGATATTAATTGAGGGTGGTTTGCTAGTTTCTATAACGCTGCGACGCTTCAGCGATTGCGCCGATGAGAATATTACCAAGAAACTATCACTAAATTTTATCGAAATATTGTCAATTTCCGAAAAATGCTTTGATGGTTCAGATCTTCACAACGTTGCCCTTCTAAAATGTGGAATGTGGCCACCTAATAACCGACTTCTAACTGGACCGCGCTAAACAGAAAGGAACCAAGCCACATCAGCTATTGCCAAATTTAACAGGAAAATTTTATTTTTTACGAGAGAACGTTCGTGCGGATTTCTTTGAAAATTTTAGGGAATTTGCTTTGTATTATGGAGAAAATTTACTGAAATTTGCATGAAATTCCTCACAACCGTTTTATTGTAAAAAATTAAATTGCCCGATTAAATTTGTCAATAGCTGCTGATTTGGCTTGGTTCTTTTCTGTTTAACGTGGTTCAATTGTGGGACCTAAAAACGAAGAATTCGGCAGAGTCGCTTCACCCTAAAGTTATCAATTGTGCAGCCAGTAGTAAAGGGGGAAGGCCGTTGGAAAATATATAAAACTATACAATTTACGCTAGCGCAAGTCCCAAATAAATCCTGAATCCAACCTCAGCAACCCCTTCTTTTCATAATGGGACACCACTGCGACGTCTCTTTTAATCTGATGCTGATTGAAATACGTCTAATTCCTTCTTTCTTGGTATATTTGGATCCTCGTTAATCGACCGCTTGAACTTTCAGAATTTTAGTGCAAGTTCAAATAAAACTGAGGTGAAAATCAACTTTACGAAATTATGACCGTCAGGCCAGGACCAACGACTCCTACTCCCAGTATGTATGAACGTGGCAACGCATATTACTAGTCTTCTTCATTTGAAAAGCTGTCAGTTTCAATCCCTACACATGCAAATGACTCTGCGAGTAGCAGTCTACGAGGGGATCGCTGATCTAACACCCGGTCTACCCACCTGTCTCAATCATGATAGGTAACCTTCTCTTCAACTCCACAACCTACGCGCGTACATCAGCTTTGTCACTCTATGGAAAAACGACTTTCGCACAATAGAACGTTGCCAAATCTGCCATGCTAAGAAAGAACGCCATATGAACTTTCAGGCATTGCCAAATTTCCTTTGATAAAATACGAATTTCCTGGAAACATATAAATATTTTGCGTCCAATTTTTCAGATAATTTTGTTTGCAATTTCGCCTAAAGTTCCTGAAAATTCCAAGGAAAAATATCCATAAGTTGCCTCTAAAATAAACATTTTATCGAAGTAAATTTGGCAACTCTCGAATGTTCATACGGCGTTTTTCCTTAGTACGGCAGAAATCACCTTCTACACAAAATAATTTCCTGAAAAACTTGGAATAACTTTTCCCAAAAATGTTCAGAGAGTTTTTCCATCAGTTGGACGTATTTCTGTCAAACGGAACTAAGCGCCATAGGGGTTGGAAGGTAAAAGGGGGCTTGGATTGGCGGGGGAACCGGGCGTCGGGCTCATTCCGTCCTATACTTGTAATGCTTTTCCATGGCGCTTAGTTCCTTTTGACAGAACGCGCATCCGGCATTCTAAATTCCTCAAAAGGAACTGAAATTGGCGCTTGGTTCCGTTTGACAGAAATACGTCCAGTTTATTCTACTGTGCCTAAAAATTTCCAGGAAAGAATATTTTTGACCATTCTGGAAACTCGAGAATTTACCGGAGAGAATTTGACAACTTCATAACGCTCTCGTGACGATTTTCCTCGACGCGACAGAGCTGTAGGCATGCGAAACACCTTTTTGGTAGGACTCCAACTTTAGCACAAAGCTCGGCAGGTCAGTCTTGATTCGGGCACTTCCCAAGCGACACGGCTCGTAAAAATCGAGGCAGAGACACCTCCATTCAATAAATTTTGCTTTTTAACGAGTCGCGCGGGTTAGGCGAACTCCGTTGCCGCTTCCTCTAAAAATAAATATATTTTATCGCATCGAAATCCGTGCATTTATTATGTACTTTTGGCAACGTTGGGAGTTGCGGGTCTCGTGCAACTTGCCAAATCCAAACGCGTGGGTGTAGGTGAGCTCATTTGTTCGCGAATGCGTTGCGACTGTTGCGAGAATATAATCGGATATTGGTAATTTTGTCGTTCCCTGACGTAAGGGCGTATCTCGATTTTCGCATGAGCCCCGAAGAGCATGTATGTAAATGTAAAACAGAGATCATGTAGATACTGACATACGTCGTTACGTTAGAGGGGCGACAATTTGTGATTGTCCATTTGGAAAGAAACCTCGAGTCCCGAGTGGTTGTAAAATACCCACGAGTGCGATTTTTGTCGTGTCCAGTAAAAAAATCGGATTTTCATATTTCAATCGAAGGCTCTGTCCAGTGACCTATGAGTTAGTTACAAGCGATTTAATTTGTTGCCGATTGAGGGAGTGAAATCGCATCAAAATCTGTCAGTTTCGTACTCTGATCGTGGTGAATCATCACTTTGAATTTTGTTTTCTCAAAATTACGGGTTTTCCGACGCAAACTTTAGACAATAATGACTCCAGTTTAGTTTCATATTATCGGGCATCTTCGTTTCAAATTGTTTGTAGAATATGCTCTGGCGTCATTTACTCAATTTTGAGTTTGAAATCGTTACCTACTTTATAATAATGGTAAACTTGTGTGGCAATGGTTATTTCGGTGATTCTTTTTTTCTTCATTCACTCAAAGGTATATATGTTCGATGACTTTGAGACCTGTCGTACAAATATCATAAATCTGTTTTTTTTTGGATGGATTAAGTTTTCACTCTTAAAAATTATTTGAATTAGTATCCGCTTAAATAATTCCATAAGAATTTTTTAAACGAACAACACAAATTTCTACTTTTGTTGAATCTGTTTTGGAAGCTTTCTGTCCTCTTCGGGTAAAGGTTTTTTGATGAAAGGGAAATTCTTTTTCATTAATATTCCAAATAATGAAGAATGGCTTCTCCGTAGCAAAATTGCTGCCAGTGGGGTTCATTGTCTCCCATTGTTCGTCAAGTTTTGCATATCATTTGATTTTGCATTGTGATGAATCGTTTGGGTATCCATGCATTGAAATATCAGTAGTTGAAAGAGAGAAGATAAGCTCAAATCGGATTATGTAATGGACGTATTTCTATCGAACGGAACTATGTGCATTATGACGTGAGCCCTGTTATGCACTTATTCTTATGGGTCTCAGGGCTCATGTCTTAGTGCACATAGTTCCGTTTGATTATAGATATACGTGCTAAAAAGCAAAATATCAGGAACACAGAGAGTGATCCTTGGTGGGACTTTTTGAACATATTTATGCTAAAAGGAACTAGGTATGCCTCACGCAATCCCTATGCACATAGTTCCTTTCAGCATAAACACGTCCATATCATTTTATTTCAGGTAAAATATTTTAAGGGAGTGAAAAAAATCAGATCTTGGAGCACACAAAAAGAAAAACTGTGCGAAAGTTGGAAAATTCTTCTCAAATAGGCAACTCTGTAACTGTGTGAAACTCCATTCATTGTGAGTTGTATGCTAATCTACGACACACCTCACACGGCTCTTTGCAATACGAATGTCAAATTTTTTTGCGAACAATCATCCCGGTGATTATTATGAGAGAAGGATGATTAATGGTTGTATTCATTGTTCGATTGATATGTCATCATACTCATTGCGATCCTGCAAAAGATGACCTGAGCCTTAAAATTATTAGGCTAAGTTGATAATGTTGGGGGCAAGTTTCAAAATGAAAGATAGAATACGAAAAGAGGATAACCACCTCACGCAGGAATGAATGGATGGAGAAACGGAAAATTTCATGACTTGTTGTCAAGTTTGGCTCTTGATACTTCTTTGCCAGTTTCAATTTTTAATGGAAGCGTCCGTGCTGCCGTGCTAAGGAAGAACACCGTATGAACTTGCAGGCGTTGCCAAATTTTCTTTGATAAACCACTAATTTTCTGGTAAATTTATGAATATTTTTCTCCCAATTTTTCAGATAATTTAGTTCGCAATTTTACTTTAAAATTCTGAAAATTTAAAGGAAAAATATGGATAACTTTTCGAAAAAATACACATTTTATCGAGGGAAATTTGGCAACTATCGAATGTCCATACGGCGTTTTTCCCTAGCACGGCAGCGTAGCTCAAGTAGGCAAAATTTCAGCAGAATCGATATACCTTTGTCGGAAAGGGGGGTTTTCACGTTTTGACAGGAAATTCTCTCTAATGTCTCAAAGAACAAGTTACGCGGGTGGTTTATCTTCCTTCTTTTCGTACTAAAGAGGGTTCAAAATTGCATAATAATCAGTCAATATTGTAACCTGAACATGGTAAAGAGTGATTTTGAGTGACTTTCTCTCGAAATTACGTATTTTTGATCTGCAAAATTCAATCCACTAAAACTTAAATCTGTTTCAAAGGAATTTTGGGCAAAAGAAACACTCGGGTATGTTTCAATGTCTAGCAAGTGCCTCTGAAACGTCGAGAGCTGTTTCTTCATAAATAAAAAAAAAAAATAATAAAAAAAAAAAAAAAATTCTGACTCCAACTTGGTTTTTATGCGCAATATTAAAATATTTTTGACACTGTACTGAAGCGTTTAACTATTGTTGGCTGCATCTTAATCTTTGGAGTCGCTCACTTCCACATGAGTTTCTTATGTTGAAACCAGACTGTATTAGCATACTTAACTAGAAGCGGCTTTGACATGAAACTAGAGACTTGTTTCCCGTACCTGATAAAGTCCATCGCGGAACCTATGGTCGGTATCTGAAGATTCCGAGTCTGGAAACTCACTGAAACAAAAAACAAGCAGTGAACTCCAACACAATGTGTTGATAAGGCGCGTCATTAACTCGCACATATCAACCCCTTTAGTTTTCATTTACAGAGATTTCAAAATAGGCAAACAGCATAAAAAGAGAATTCACGATCCAACACTGCGAGGTCAAAGACGCACCTTGACGAGACCGTGTATTGTGAAAGTAGAAAGCTATTCGATCGAATTTAAGTTTTTTGATCTGCCTCAAGCAAAATCTTATCAGATTCTTGAAGAAAAGTGCTACGGAATAATTTAAGCGAAGAAAGGAAAAATTCTGTCGAACTCCTAGAAGATAAAGTCGATTTAAAGGTATTTTGGGGCTAAAATACCCAAATCACCGGTAGTAAAAATCCCGTTATATTATTGAAAAGAAATTGACTCGATATAAATGCAATTGCATTAAATACGTCTTGATTTTGTTATTTTAAACGTCTTTCCATGCAAAGAAGTTCAACCATGTCGTTGCTTTATTCATTCATGAATTGAAAGTAAGCAATCTACATCCCGAAAATCTACTGATTTGCCGTAAAAAATTGCAGAAACTTGATATACCAGGTCGATGCACCCACTCGTTGAATTTACCAACCAATTTTGTGAGCGCAAATGTGTAAGAATCAATATGCTATAGTCATTTTGGGTGCATTTATTTTTCATGAAACAATAATAATTTCAATCCCGAAAAACCATCAATTTTCCGTATAAAATCGAAAAAATCAAAATATGTCAACTCCCCGACGTGAAAATTAGATTCTACGTATGTAAAATGTAAATACTTATGTATCGATATGCTGAACAGAACTATGTGTGGACAGTCAGAAGCCCGCGGCAACATTAATTCAACAGAAAAACTGTAAAAATTGGATAGGATTTTAGCCGCTTTGCCCGCCTCTCCTCGCTACTTACAACAAACCGTTCTTATACTCATCTCAAAATTTTTCTCAGAGCTTTGGGTTATTATCAGCTTCCATTTAAACTCCGGTTCGATGGCCGAATCGGCAGCCAAAAAAGCAAGCCACTGTTGAGGGGTTCTATGAGAAATTCGTGATATTATCGGCTCTCAGGAAATCACCCCATGGCTAAAATTGGTGGTATAAATGTTTAAGTGCTTAAAATAATCGTATTCAAGAAACTAAGGAATTAAACTATGGAGTCAATTTCTTTTTAATAATATAACGAATTTACTACCGGTGATTTAGCTATTATAGCCCCAGAATACTTTTAAAGCGCCTTTGCGTTCCAGAATCTCGACGGAATTTTTTTTTTTTTTTTGCTTAAACGATTCAAGAAACATTGTAGTTAAAAATATAAAGATTTTTCGATTTGGACGTATGAAAAATGTTTAACTCGTTCAGGCACACCGTGTATTGTATGGAGTACTGCTGTTATTCGACCGTTGTCTTCAGGTCAAAATTCTTACAAAGAAGCCCCTTGCAAGAGGCAAATTTTTTGTAATTTCTCCCAGTTTTTTCAGCGTTAGGTATATAAATGAATTGTTTGTCAAATTTTGAGGTCAATTATATTTAATTGTAATTTATACTTTCTTTTTTCCCCCTTCATTTTATTTTTCGTATCGAGGAGTCGAGGTTTTGTTGATTTCTTCGGATTTCGATTACTGTAACTTCTCTTCTATTCGGCCGATTTTTATGAATGAGGTCTCTTTTTATTTGTGTTTTAACGGAGAGTAAGGAAAAAATTGCTAAATACATGCGAAACAATTTTTTTTGAAAATTGGATGAATCCTAGCGTGACGGTGAAATGGTTAATGAAGCGTGAGTAATTGGGGTACGGGTATCGGCCGCGTTGGGACCCAAGGCCCATTGTTCTTCGTGACGCCGACGCAGTGATCAGGAGCGTGGGGACGAGAGGGCTTAGTGGACTCCTGTATGAGCCACGTTTAGCAAATGGTCTAATGAGTCTCGAGGCTCATCACAGATTGCACTTACCACTATCCTGCTGGCCCCGGCTATCAGAGCAAGGAGTACCAACTTTTGAAAAGGATAACAGTGTTGTGGAGATATGTCAAAGCAACGTTGTGAACAAAACGGAGTGAGTGAAATTCTCATTCAAGGAGTGCCGAACTGGTCAGCCATCCTCGAATCAGTTCGCTTGCTTCCGCTTATATATGCATATTTTAAATCAGCGCGCCCCATTCTAAGGTTTTTTTAAAAAAAACCAAGAAACGTAGACTCTTGGTATTCATTACACATAAACTAGCGAGCCCCAGAATGAGAAACAAATTTTAATCATTATTATTGACGGATTAGTAAACTTTTTACACGCTTTGGAAAATCTCAGAAGTTCGCGGTAGTCACTTTTCGGTAAGGAACTAGGGGACTCGGTTATTGTATCGAGGGGGGGGTCGAAACGATCGCAAAGGCGGTATACTACGTATACGCGCCAACAGACAAAAATTAACCGGCGTTCTCAGTATGGGATTGTTAATGACAGCATTTTGCAATTCGGAACTACTATTTCTGGCTCGACGTGAATGATCGATTATCGATATTTCCCCAGTTGAAGCTATGGTAAAGAATCGATCATTAAGGTGTTCGTTGCGAACACCCTGTACACCGATCCTTTTCCGTATGTTTAAATGGCAGATGAATCGATACATCGCAAAGCACGCCACGCCACTTTGATGGATCCTTTTATGGATGAGCTAGAAAGAGTAGGTCCTTCTCGTAAAATGTAGTCCAAATAAGGGGCTTAGAGGACAAGGAGCATAAGTGCGGGTTTTGAAAAAAATGAGTTATTGATGATTTCAAGTAATTCTTGCCTTAATGCATATTCTGTGAAACATTCGCTCCTTAAGTCCAATTTTTAAGTATCTACAAGTCAGTTTGAACTTTTTCTCAGCCATAAGGATCCGTGTAATTTTGAAACTTCAAATGGTATTTCTTGAAACAGCAAAAACCGCACTTATGTGCCTTTTCCTCCAAGCTCCTCAAATAGGCCTCAGTTCAAAAAAACTCAAAACTGTGTTACGAATCAATACTAGAGCCTAAGAGTATGGTGCACTCTTTCTTGGAAAAAATGGACGTATTTCCCGACACTAAATTAGTCCATGTAAAAATTAATTAAATGAAAAAGAACTGAGCACACAATTATTGCAGTGTAACTGCATGCACGCACAGTAGTCAATTACAGCTCTCGGAGTGGGAAAATTTTTCCGCAGCTACGAGCACGCTTCGTAGATAAGATTAATTATGTAATGTGTGATTGTATGTTCAAATTTTCTCTGATGAGTTCAGAAATGAATATTTAAAGTAATGATAGATTAAAAATGAGTCAGTAATTGAGTGAATATGTGATTTTTCAATAAAGACTAACGTTGCGTTTTCACCGTGTAGAAACGACGCACAATGCGGCATCCTTATGGACAATGCGGACAAAAATCGGTAAAAGACATTTAACTTTAAATAATTAATATAGTAGCACCGACATAGGAAAACCCTTTGGCACTGTCAAAGTAAAGCACTCGAGGAATAAGAAAATGTTATATCTCAGCATATTTCGCAAGAAAAGTTCATTTGACGTTGGCAACCTCGAATCAGCCCTATGTTAACGTTGTAAAAACAACATGAAACACCCAAACTTTAACTTCAAATATATCTGATAGTCGCAAAAAGTAGCAAAATCTTTTTGGTGGAAATGAAGTTGGAGATCTGAGGATTAAGAAAATATCAACCATCTAGAGCATTTTGCGTTTCAAGCAAGAAATCTTCATTTGAAGTTGAGGTCTTTTCCCCATGTTTTTCTTATAGACCAGTGATCCTTGACCTATTTTCCGCCCACTTTCTACCCAAATTTGAAGTAGTTTTGAGCGAGAGCTTTGAAAATTAACCATCACTGTGAGTCAGAAATATATATATAATGACAAACATAGAAAAACATTTCAGATTTCGAGACGTCAATTTTTTATTTTGTCCACGGAGGGCCGCACTGTGCGACGTGCCAAAAGGTCAGAGCTTTTGATCCCGATAACAGCAAACTGAGAAAGTTCTGTCTGATGAAACGCAAGATGAAATTTGTTGTGGTAGCCTCCCGTTTTCACACATTTTTATCAAGTAACGGGGATTTCAATCGAAGCCGCGAGATAATGGCTTTAATTGCTATGTACCTATGATAGTTATTCGTATATTTGAGTGATAAAAGTACATTTCTGCCAAAGCTGTGAGCATGACATGGCGAATTTTGTCAGTTGAAAATTAGAGATTTAGTTGGGGTTGGAATAAATTTCTAAGGCAGAAACCTTTGGTTAAACATTTCTTGCCCATCCAAAAACTCGAGAGGAAAAGAATAAGGAGCGAAAGATAAAATAGAAAAAAGGTCAGTAGACGTCTAGTAGAATGAATATTTTAGTACGGTGTACTTTGTAAACTCAATACTAGTTTTAAACGGTTCATCGCTAAAAATAAACCTTTTTCGTTATAGATATCGACTACGTGCATTGAATGGGATATTTTTGGTGTAAGTATGCGTGTGTGTCTCCGTGATTATTCCATGACCTTTTTTCACGCTAAATCGAAGGGATTGTACGTACGTCAGTCTGCCTTTCACCCCCTACCGTCTACCCCTTGAATATGGCGTCGGGGTGGGGGATTTTCTCCCTCTCTCCTTCATTCACTGTTTTGATTATCGACAATAGTATCATAGCCTTTCGAATTCAGTTTTTCCTACTATTATTACCGGCAGACGCGAAGGTGCTTTTACAGAGATTGGATTGACTTCCTCCGCCATTAATGAAGTGAAAAATGAGTATCCACAAAAAATAGGTTTGCTTCATCCGTTGATTGGCTTGAATTATCCAGTACAATAAAAAGGAACTAAAAAAAGTGGTCCGGCACTCGTGCACGGTAATAAAAATCTTAAGTCATTATCAGACAAAACGAAAAAAAAGTGAAAAAAAAAAGAAAAAGACAGAAAAATTCATGGACAAAAATTCGTAAAATTAGAAGACAGCGGGTTTGCCCAGAGATTATTACCTGCTAATTGCCGAAAACTCATTTTTACATGCGTGTAATCTGTATGCCAATTTGTGGTGTATGCTCATGCCATTTATAATTCACCCCCCCACCCCCCGCCCCCATGCGATTCTGTACATCTTCATCAAAATTTACCAATATCTTGAACAAAATTTAACATGAGACAAGTCTGTCTTAAGAAAAAACTGTACTTATTCACCTTGTCTTCCAAATTCCTCAGTTGCAGTTACTCTTAAAAAATGTATGGTATATAATTTTGCCTCGATATTTCTCTGCGTGGCAAACAGACTCTTTGAAGGACAAAATGAAATATTGATGATACTTACTGCTTCACAATTTGCACATTGTTGTCAAAATTCTTGAGTTTCAAGGCGGTATACTCGTCCGAGCGCTTGTTCTCCATGCTGAGTATTGATCGATTCTTTGAACTTCCAGGTTTTAATTTCGCAGTTTTTTCAAAACCTCCCGAATTCTTCTTGAAATTTTCCTTAATTCTTCCTCAAAAATACAGAGTCAGCAAGGTATGGTGCCCTACTTGCAGCAAATTTAGGTATACAGCACCGGAATTCAGGTTACTCCATCGCACAATCCTCACATTAGTTTGATGACGAACGATCAATGGACGGTTCTGATTATAGATAACGGTAAAATAAATATTCACAGCAGATTTAAAAAAAATAGTATTTAACATCAAGAGTTGCTAAGATCTGAAGATTCTTGGAATTTGCTTGAGTTTTCAACTAAAATTATCAGATCCAAATCGATCATAAAATATCACAGCCAGCAAATATTTAGAAATATTATAATTTGAAAAGACGTATTCGGCAATTTTAAGTTGAAAGGTTCTTTCATGAAATCAGCTTTTGAACTGTATCCGGCAGATGGATCAGTGTAGAAGAATCACGAGGGAAGAACTTCCTTTCACAATCAATGCGTAAGATAACACCATTCACAATGTTGAGTTTTCTACAAACTTATTTTATCAGAGCCCTGTAAAATAACAAAAAAACCAGCCATTCAGTTCAGTTCTCTCAATGTTTGGAAGGAAGGAAGGCACGTTGTGGAGTGAAAGACACGCACGTATACATATGTAGAGACGTTATAATACTGCTGTGCTAAGGATAAACGCCGTATGAACATTCGAGAGTTGCCAAATTACCTTCGATAAAATGTTTATTTTGGAGGAAAGCTATGAATATTTTTCCTTGAAATTTTCAGGAAATTCGGATGAAATTGCGAACAAAATTATCTGAAAAATTGGAAGAAAAATGGTTACGAATTTTCCCAAAAATTGGTGATTTACTGAAAGAAATTTAGCAACGCCTGAAGGTCCATACGACGTTTTTCCTCAGTACGGCAGAATATGAAACGCCAATACATTTTTAAGTATCCAGCAATATCACATTACCGTGCATCAATTGGACTGCATTTTGCAGTTCGGAACTATAAAGTCTTGCTCTCCTGGAAAGACATTTATGTGCATAGGGAAACTAATGGCACATACGTTGTTTTTAAACCGGGCTAGAATCTATAGTTCTGAATTGCAAAATGTAATCCAATTAGGATTGAACAAAATTTTCGCCCCACGAAATAGTTTGCTCTCCGAGTAAATCAGAACACGTGGAGAAACACTCTTATAGGTCGAAAGCACCAATTTTGGTTTATGTCATCGCCCTCCCGACATAAGAACGTAACTACACTTCGCGATGGACCATGCCATACATCTGACTCAATGCTTTCCCGGGCTCATCTCCAAGTGAAGTTACGTCCTTTTGTCAGCCAAAGCGACGATATGCCACGGAGGATGCTCTAGTGAACGAAGTTTTCGGTCGTGTAAACGCCTGGATCCCAAGTAGCAGAGGTTGCAACAACTTGAAACAAAATCGTTTGATTCTTGCAACTAGTAGATTGATGTGCAGATTGCCTACTCTCTCCCCGAAGGAGCTATCATTGTCGGAACTAGTTGCAATTAAGTTGAAACATGTTTCAACTTCAAAGTATTGCTGGTTGCCTATCTTTAGATTTTAAACAACTTTGGTGCAAAAATGTTGCAATCTCAGCAAGTTGCAACTCTGTCTTCCGATCAGATCGCCGAAAATCGGCACTTATCGACCAAAAGTTGACCGAAAGTTGCAACTAATACCAACATTGTTTCAACTTTTTGTAACTTTTACATTGAAAAATGCTACTTGGGATTCAGCCAACCGAAACCACCTTTCTGTAAAGAATACGATTCTCGGCCTGGCGAACAATAACTTGATTTTCTGAACCGATATTCAGTCTCCGAGACCGGAAAAACCTGTTACTTGATCCGTAAACTTTGGTGTATATCTACTCCCTGATTTTCTGACCTCGCAGTGATTCTACTGGCATCACCTGGAGATCAGCCTGACGTAACTCTCTTGTTTTCCTGATGTCACACTACATTCGTTTTTTAGAGGTTATTTTGGATTTGGAAGCTGTATAATAGAGAAATGGAGTATAAATATATGACGAAGTGATATGTCGATAGTGAGGCGAGCGAGCCCTTTCCCTTAGTTTTGCATTGCGGAAGTTCTGTTACATATTATTTGAATGCGATAGAACCAACTAATTTTATCGCTTGAGTCTCCGCATGATTTTGCTCCACCTATCTACGTTCACTTGCGTACATTGGGGAAAATTCATTAAGAGACTGTTTAAGATTACTTGACTCACAGGTGGTGGGGGCTAGGGTCAACATATAGAAATATGTTATGATACTTTTTTTAAATATATTTCTGACAATGGTCTCAGTGGTCTGGATCAATTTCTAATGGTGCAATTCAGAGAGAAAGGAGCATAAACCAAAAACTGCTTAAATCAATAAAAAGTTGTAAAAAAGTATAGCATCAAGCGATGCATAACGCCGTCTTGGCCCTTGCCCTACGTAACGAAGGCTTAAAACCGGACCTTAGTGTCTCGTATTTCATGAGCGGTCCTTAAGGCTGATCACGACAGCAGTACAACTACCCCTATGCCTAGGCTAACCCACATATGAGTTTTTGTGGACTAAGGTCCCTTCTCCATGCATCGTATTCGATAGTGGTTCGATGTATCGTTTGGTCCAAAACAACAGAACGTATAACCTTTAACAAAAATGTGTACTTTAAATTTGAAAAGCTAGAAAAGAGAAAATAAGAAGTTAGATCTTAACTGCTATGCAGTGCTCATAAAAACAAAAAATCAATCACAAAAACCCGTCCCCACAGATTACTCAATTGACTTTTGAGGCTTCATGTTTATATGTCAAAACCAAGCGATATCCATACAATTTCAGCGATAGAACGCCTGTTTGATGCATCGAATACGATCCATTGGACGATCACACACACAATCACACCTTCATTTATTTTTCTCCGTTTTAATCGCCAGAAATACTTTAAAATGTCGAAACACCAACTCCAAAGACAAAGTATCCCAGCTTCACCACTGACATTCGAAATCTCGGGGGTTCACGCGAACCAACCGGACGACTGGACGCACCGACACGACTGATCCCGGAATTTGGACGTCGAGGAGACGGCACGAAGAGGGTACACTTATCCGCGAAGCAGCCGGACTTATCCGCGAAACAGCTGGAATTATCCGCGAGGCAGCTGGAATTATCCGCGAGGCAGTTGGACTTATCCGCGAAGTAGCTGGACTTATCCGCGAAGCAACTGGACTTGTCCGCGGAGCAGCCGGACTTATTCGCGAAGCAGCTGGACTTATCCGCGAAGGAGGAAACTGCTGGACGACGGAACGCACCGACACGACTGAGCCCGGAACTTGGACACGAGGAGACGGCACGAAGTGGGCGGACTTATCCGCGAAGCAGCCGGACTTATCCGCGAAGCAACTGGACTTATCCGCGAAGCAGGAACCTGCTGGACGATGGAACGCACCGACACGACTGATTCCGGAACTTGGACACGAGGAGACGGCGCGAGGTGGCCGGACTTATCCGCGAAGCAGTCGGACTTATCCGCGAGTTCGGGACCGAAATTCGTGGACGGAGGTGGATGTCGCGGCACATGCCGGTGGCGGAGATCCCGGCGTGTCGGCGTCCCGTTCGCGAATGTCCGCTCGCATTTGGCGAACGAGTAACGTCGTCCGCTCCGACGCGGGCCGGGCCGGGGGGGCCGGGTATTTCGAGTCGGCGTGGCCGGCTGACACTGAACTTGCCGCTTCTCCGCGCGCTTCGCCGCGAAGGTTACGCTCGACGCCTCGCCGTCCACGTTGACGTTCACGTCATGACGACGCGATGGTCGCGTGCGCGCTCCGATACCCACTGCTCCGGCTCGCGTCCGATCGATTAGCACGTCCGATCGGACGCGTGCTTTCGGTCCACCTGTGGCCGTCAGTTCCGACATCTATAATTATTGCGGTTTTTTTTTCGTCTCCCTCCTTCGCGGCAAAGCTGTGGCCGGAATTCTGCCGTGCTAAGCTGCCGTGCTAAGGAAAAACGCCGTATGAACCCTCAGGCGTTGCCAAATATCCTTTGATAACACACGACTTTCCCGGTAAACTTATGAATAGTTTTCTTCCAATTTTTTGGATAATTTTGCCCGCAATTTCACCCGAAGTTCCTGAAAATTTCAGAGAAAAATATTCATAAATTTCCTCAAAAATAGACATTTTAGTGAAGGAAATTTGGCAACTCTCGAATGTTCATACGGCGTTCTTCCTTAGCACGGCAGTAAGGAAGAACGCCGTATGAGCCTTCAGACGTTGCCGTGTTTCCTTCGATAAAATTTTAATTTACCAAGAAAATTTTGAATATTTTTCTTTCAATATTTTGGACAATTTTTTCCCCGATTTAATCTAAAATATCTGAAAATTTCAAGGAAAAATATGCATGAGTTTCCCTTAAAATACATTTTTTATCCGGGGAAATTTGGCAACTCTCGAATGTCCATATGGCGTTCTTCCTTAGCACGGCAGATTTGGACCGCGTTTATAGCAGAAAGGAACCAAGCCACCTCAGCTGTTGCCCAATTCAATCGGGCAGTTTAATTTTTTCACTGGGGGAAGTTTGTGCGGATTCACGCCGTCCACTATCGCGCCTTCAATTATTAGACATATGCAACACGGACATCCATCAAGCACGTATAGTTGTATCTCTGCGCCGTCATCAACACGCAGCCTTCCCTTGCTCTATTTCCCATGATGTTTTGTTCCAATTTGTCTCACTTGAAGAGGTGCATAAAGGGCTACTTGAGCAATATATTCAAACGCCTGTGATTCCAATGGATGTCTAGTATGTCGAACTCGACATTAATTGATATTTTATATTATATACTTTAAAGATCCCTAGATGGTCACCCCTAGTAAACCTGCCGGCGTAGTATTAAAAAACCTAGTGATAAGATAACCACTCTTAAAAGGGAAAAAATAGAAGTTAATACATGTTTGATGGACGTTGGTTTTAATAATTGTACTATTCAAAAAATAATGGATTGTTCTTCTATAATTAATATTTGCTTAGTCATTTAAAGATTAAGAACTACGCTAAATTTATTTTTGAAAAGTGGCAACGATGAGAGTCTCCACGATGCGTTTCATTTTACGCTTGGATATTTCAAATACCAATCGCCAGCTGATTGCCGGGAAGTGAGAGGGCGACCCTCAAGCTTAGCAATAACGTGATAAGCTGCAGCGTTTCATTTGAAAAACTAGTCAGTCACGACTAGTTGCAGAGCCTTTAGTCGCCAATTTGAAATTAGGACTTTAAAAAGCTAACGGGGTCTCCCTCGTGTTGGCCGTGTGGATGCCTTTACAGTTTCCTAGATATCCCCGTTTGCGCGCAGGGAAACATACACAGTTGCCTCAGCAGCCCGCGCATGTATTTATATTATCATATTCGATGAATAACTTACCCGCTATGATGCTCATGCTCAACTCACGCAAGTTCCACTTATTTACAAGCAGACCATACATTGTCAATGGCAGTTGAAGCCCCAACAAGCGTAGAGTGCTTTTATAGAGAAAGAATGGGAATTTCCAAATCCATTTCTGATTGGCTCAACCATCTCAAAGGCTGTTTAGGGCGCAAAAGTGGCGCATCTTGCGAGCAGCTGTAGGTAAAAGTGACTGAAAATGCGTTCAGAGGCCCAGTATATTTTCTTTTAAAAAAATGAAGCTTGTTTAATCGATTTAAAAACAAATTTCGAGCATTAAATATTAAGGAATTCCTCATTCAAGGAAACTTTTCCATACGACTTTTCCTCCGAGTGTTCACTGAGTTATAAGTTGCGCTCATCCAAGAGGAACACGCCCGCTGGGTTTTTCCATCCATAGTTTTGGTTGTTAAAACACCAAATATTCATATCTTGTGTATGAAACATTGTGTGAAAACTATTAGTTAAATTATTTCAGTTTTATGTGTTTCAGAGTTGAAGTTTTATAGTTTGAATATTTCAAAAATAAAATAATTAAAGGAAACGCAAGAAATTTTGAAATCACGCGGTCGGTGTACCCCACGAGTGTGTGCTTCATATGGACTGCATTTTGTAATTTGGAACTATAAATTCTGGCTCTTCTGGAAAAACACTTATGTGCATAGGGAAACTAATGGCACATACGTTGCTTTTAAACCGGGCTAGAATTTATAGTTCCAAATTGCAAAATGTAGTCCATATGCCCTTTAGGCTGGTCTGCGCAAGTGTCATAAAGTCCAAACGTTATGTTCAATTTTATTAACCCAGTACCCAAGCAACTTCGATTGTAAAGCAGCGGCGTGGCGTGAATGATCGATTATCGATATTTCTCCATTTGAAGCTACGGTAAAGAATCGATTATCACGGTGTTCGCTGCAAGCACCCTGTTTATCGATCCTTTTCCATAAGTTTGATTGACAGATCAATCGATATATCGCAAAGCACGCCACACCACTGTTGCAAAGGGTACAGGAACGGGTTGACAACATCCACCTAATAACCATAAAGCCAACAAAGGAACTCGGAGTATTCGCGAATGAACAAAGCCGGTATTTTTCGCGGACACCTTAGATACATGCAAATTTTTTGGAGGCCGAGTCGGGGAAAAGTCACGCTGCCCGGCCGAGTCAAAAACACATATCTCAAACTGGAATATTAGGGAGACATAAGTCGTTTCATTAATTCACGGCATTTCTTCACAAGCCGAGTGAAGAGGGAGAACTCCGTGCACAACGAAAGCGGCACTCGGCCGTGGCGTGCTCCTCATTTCGTCCCTCTGACGTAAGGGCATATATCTATTTTCTCGTGAGCCCTGAAAAGCATGGGGCTATATGAAGAACAGGGCTCACGTAGAAATTGAGATACGTCCTTACGTCAGAGGAGCGACGATTTGTCACGATTCATTTGTGAGAGGATTTACGAGCTTTTTCAGGGGTATTTAATTATGTGTGTCAGTCGGTTTGACGGCTCCAGGCTTTACTAATTGATCTGCTGGCTCTAATAGTGTCTCGCTTTGTTACGTCACTGAACGTCGGTCTCGCATATCACGAAACACTGTGGATCCAGCCCGGGTTAAGCAGTGGACATACGGCGTACGGACATAGCGGGTCGATTATTGAAATTGATAGACAAAGCTACAGACAAAGAAAATAAAAGGGATATGGCGGGATCCTATAGGTGGAAGCGGGTGATTGCAATGGACAAAGGAGGCAGATAATAGACTAACTAACGAACGACAGCCCACGAGAGACCCTAGGTGAATCAGTGAGAACGAAAACACACCAACTCGGGAAAATGAAAATAATCAAGACACACACAACACTGCAGAACAGGTGGAGAAGTTAGTTTAAGAAAAGGGTTTTTGCTGCCGAAAGACAAGCAACATTGGACATTTTAAAGGTCCAAGTTGGGACAGATGCGTTAACATCAATGGCCTTCATGTAAATTAACTGTCTTAAATGGAAATTGAGCATTTTCGAGTTACCGAGTTGGTGTGTTTTCGTTCTCACTGATTCAAGTATAGTAAATCCATCATTTCCTCCCTTAGTCTCTAAGAAACTACCAATGTCAAGCAATAGGATCGCTCCATCAGTTGTTTGGGTTATTTAAAGTGCTAACGGTTCATTAAGTATCATATATTTTGAAGTTAGGGGTGAAATTAAAAGTGCAATAATTTTTTTCGTTAGAGGAATTTTTGTCTGATGTTTTACCTCATGCTTCGCCGGAATCAAACAGAACAGCCTGAATCAAAACGAACAGGCAAAACGGAACTTCAAGGGGAAAAATAACTCGAATTTTGAGTTTTCGTTGGAAAAAATATCCAATTTCTTATCCTTGTGAAAAATACACTGAGATGTACAACAGGATACAGGACTTTATACAGGAATTTTTGCACGTTAAATTCAAATAATTTGTCCACTAGCTCCCATTGATTTGATACACAGTGCGACCGGGGGGGGGGGGGGATGGGTGAGCAACACGCTTGAGCTAGCATATTGCGGTTCTGCTTATTAAGAAAAATTGCACCAAACAATGTTGCCGATTGATAACCTGGAAGGACCTGCGGGCCGATTATTGAAATTGATAGACAAAGCTCGACAAAGATGACAAAAGGGATATGGAGGGAACCTATTGGTGGAATCTGGTGGTTGAAATGGACAAAGGAAGTAGGTAATAGACTAACTAACGGCAACCCACGAGAAACCCCACAGTTAGTCCATCATTTTCTCCCTTAGTCTATAAGAACCACACATTTCGACCAGTAAGATCGCTCCATACCCTCTATGTCTTCTTTGCCTATAGCTTTGTCTATCACTTTCAATAATCAGCCCGCTGGCATGCGTGATTGGGATTTTCAGACATTTCTTTTCTCTGAGGAAGTTTCAAAGAATTTCATTGCGTTACTATGGACTCAGTGTCCAATCCGCAACAAAGAAAAGGAACTTCAACAACGAGCAAGTATGAAATGACTTGTAATGGTACTCATTATACTTTCGAAATATTTTAAATTTGCTCTCAAAATTTGCATTGCCTCCCAACTCTACTGATAAGGTTCCGATCATTTCACGAAATTTGTTTTCATATATTTTATGGAATTTTGCATTTTTGGTCCTGGAATGAGCGATGTGAATTTTTGATTCCATAGAAAAACTATTCGATTCTAAAGTTCTCGCCATGTATGATGGCTTTCTAAACGATTTTGGCAACATTGTCACAAGGTTAAGGGCAAGGCGAGAAAAGTTGACCCAACAGCAGATGAGCGCGTGTTACGGAGATGTGAGATTCAAGAAGAACCAATATTCAAATGAGCTAGCTCCATCGGCTAGAATCTGGGCATTGCGCTTCACTGGTGCAATAAATTTCCTTAATTGTTCGTTTTATTGAAGCAGCGCCTCTCAGCGACGAGAGTCTGGCAGTGGCGCGGCTTGCTTTGCAATACATC